TGAGTCAAAACGTTGTGTTCCAATTAGTTCGATCTTCAGGCTTCTCACACGGCCAGGGTCGCACGGGCGTGTGAGATTTCCATCTGCCCGTGTTTGCTCTCGGCAAAACTCGCATGGCCAAGCCACTCCTTCACACGGCCATGTGAAAATCAGGGCAAGCCGTGTTTGCTCTCGCACAATCTCACACGACCACAAATATGAGTTGCACAGCCGTGTGGGTTGTGGATGTGCCCGTGTGGCCTCCTTTTTGACTTGCCTCGCGCCCGATCTTCGTCCAATCGACCCCAAACTCGCTCCCAAGCCTCCATTCACGTACTAGGACCTGAAATATCACAAACAAGCACAACTTAGCATGAAATCGGCCTAAAACACGAGAAATCACATCTCAAACGGTGTAAGAACAGGGGTAAAAACATGTGTAATTAACGGTCTATCAGTGAGCATTCCAAATCTCGCGGGAGTGGAATTGAAGTTACAAGTACGAGCAAGATTGGGGATGGTAGCGTGATTGGATCGAAAGATGGACTTGCAAGTGAGGCAAGTCGTGGTGCAACCAACTCTTCCTTTGTTTCCATTGAAGAGTAGAAATGATTGGTTGGCGAGTTGAAGTGGAGTTTGTTGGATTTATGTTATCTTTATTTATGCATTATGGATTTAAAGACTTTGGTTGTGTAATGAACTTTATTTAGACTTTGTGCTTGTGTGTGTGAGACTATTATGATTAATGTTGGAATGTTTTGTCTTGGTTTTATTGAAATTTGGTAAAAATTGGAAGAAACAGAGGCTGCTGGTCACTTAAATACAGGGGAGGTGCTGCTCGGTTCGACCCGGTTGGTCAACCAGCCGGTCGTTTGGTGGGGTTTCCGGTCAAAACCGGACCAAACCGTATCTCATCCTATCCGGTTTGGTTTAAACCGTGTCCCAGTCCAATCCCGTCCACGGTTGGGCATAAGTCCAATCCGGTCATAAAAAAACTGGGTCAATCCGGTCCGGTTTAAACCGAACCGGACTGTTTCCCAGCCCTAGTCCCAACGACATCCAAATTTTTTGTTCAACATTTTGGTCAAATATGATAATGAAAAATTCAATCAGATCATCATGTTTAGTTTATGCTAAAATCGATTTTCGTAGAATATTTGTCATAATTCATATGTTCGTGTGAGTTCAACTCGACTTGAATCAAAATTGAGTTATGTTATAAGTTGATTAATTGGTTTTAAGCTTAATTTCTTATCATATATCTGATTTAGTGAAAATATGACCTTAAAAACACCTAATTTTGACCACCACTTCAAAGTTGCATTTCTTTCATGGAAAATTTGTGACTTTTTAACTTATAATTTTAGATAAATAGGCGGAACCACGCATTGGTTTCGACAAATTCATTACCATGCCACCAGAGAAGATTTGGAGGAGAAAGCAGGCGGCGGTGGAGCCAAGACATTGGGCGATCCAGTAGAAGAAGCCAATTAGGATGGTTATGTTGTCGCCGACGGCCAATCCGAAGGTGACTGCTGGATTCAAGTGGCCTCCTGAGATGTTGGCCGCAACTGAGACTCCCACAAACAAGGCGAAGGCATGTGCCACTGCGACGGCGACCAAGCCAGGTGGGTCTATTACTGCCTCTGGCGCAAGCTTGCCTGTCAAACATTGAGTTAACAACCACAACCCAAATTAAGTCACTATTAACATCCAAGTTAGCTTCCTCTTAACTTTCAAAATCAGTACTTGTTTTGATAAAGTATGAAACTTAAGTAATTGATGAAGCCAAAGGGACCAATTGAGCTCTGGATGTGGGAGGTCCTGAGTTCGATTCCCGGCGGCACTCTTGGTATCGAAGGCGAAGCCTCCCCGATGTTGGTAGCATAAAGCCCCGGTTAGTATGTAGGTACCCCCAGTGGTTTAGTAGGCCTCGCTGTCGCTCAAGCGGCATGTGGGGCTGAGGTTCCCTGGGTTATCAAATAAAATAAAAGTAATTGATGAAAGTTTATTCAAATCCACTCATATACTAAATTCCTCACACCAGCTAGTATACTATTTCGATCTCGAAAATTCGTTCTTCAAAAGTGTTTAGAGAATAAATTTACATATCATCTCAAATATCATGTCGATTAGGTAGTGATATTTCATCCCAATAACTCAAATTGTTTTTTTTTTTAACAATCATAATTATTGGGAAAACCACAACCCAATTGAGGGGTGGGAGAGAGGGAATAGTTGGAGACTCACTGAATGCGATGGCAGAGCCAAGCCAACAAAAACGAAGAGAAGGGTAGCGATGAACTCAGAAAGGTAGTCCTTGATGGAGCCAACGCTGAAGGAGTCTCCAAGGCTGCCAAATGCAATCTTCACCATTTTCCCTTTTCTACTTCCTTCCTCTCAAACTTTGTTTCAAAAGAACAGTGAAACCTTTATGGGCTTTTGTTGTGTGAATTTTTTGCCTTCGCTTTTGGAGTGATGGAATTCTGCAGCCATTGAATGAACTTATTTATATATGCAAATAAGAGGGGGGAAACGACATAGCTAGCAGTAGTCGTAGTAGTATTAGTTGGCTTGTTTGGCTTGAAAAAATATGGTGTCACGGCCGGCCACGGTCACCAGCCAAGTGGCCCATTTGTATTCTATAGTGCCCTCTCCACGGTCTATGATTGACTGCCGACCAACCGCATTCTGTGATTAATTATCAGGCAAATGATCAATTATGAGCATTATGACAAAGTGCTTATAACTAAACCTCTTTGTTAATGATAATGTATTCATCTCGGATATGATTAAATATTAATCAATTTCATAGGCTGCCAAACATATGGGAATGAGGTGAGGTGTTTCCATTGGTATTATATATTTTTTGGTAAGTACTTTGGCAATAATTACAATGAGATTGATTTAGTTTGATGAAATGTGTTTTGATACGATTATATTGAGATAGTAACTCTTTATTTAGTCTTGTTATCGAACTTTTTATGTTTTAGTTGTAGTTGTAGGTGTAGTTAGGGACTCTTATCTTGAAAGAGAAGTCACAATTGTTGAATGACTAACTCAACCTAAAAGTCTAATTAGTTGAAACATGCAGAATATTTGTATGATATTCGCTCCAATTGACCCGGGGGTTATTTTGGGAATCTCATAATTACGGGTGAGTTTAATCTGAAACTCAGTTAACGTCCATAATTTTCTCATTTCATGTTGAAACTCGATACCGTTTGAACTATTTGTTCACATTTTTAATCCTGATTGATAATATGGTGGAACTTGACCCAATGGTATAATAGTCGTTTTGAATTTTGGGAAGAGCGGGGTGTAACATAATAATTAATTGGTTGTTATTTTTTTCCGCCATAGGTATCCCTAAAGGGAAACAATATATATATACGAATAATATATAGAACCGAACCAACGATACAAGGGTTTGTTTTGTCACGGTATGAGCATATGAGAAGCGAAATGAAACAAGGTAAACTTAAAAGAAGACCTTAATGCCTGGACGGCTGGACCACTTGCATGATAGGCCCATTACATGCGACGAATCATTTGCGTTGATCGTCCGAATGACCACCTGCGAAAACAATCATCGATGATGTGTATCATCAACAATTAAAAATCCAGTGTGCTAAATAATGATTCCTTGATGCCATTTCTTGTGCTTAATTAACCACTAATAAGTAACTATCCTAATTAAGTTGGGGGAGTTAAAGGATTAGTATAAAAGGTTTAGGTTCAGCTGAACTCTGAAGAGTTTGTGGCTACTTATTAGGGCCTTAGCTAGAAAGGCTGCTCATTTTGTTAATTGTTCAATGTACTTATGCATGCAGGAGCTGGCAACCCCAAGCCTCTAGGCTCTACCCATATAATAATAAGCTATGATAAATACCTAACACAATTTGTTTATTTTTGTGCATATATGTACCCAAAATAATAGAATAGGAGAGGATTCGGAATTTGACACACATCTCCTACATTTGTTTTATTTATGATAACTCAAGATTCTTTAAGCTCATAAAGCTGAATGATAATGGAACTTTGGTTGATAATCTAGTTTAAGGCTTCGATGATGGAGCTTAATTCATCGTGTTAAAGACACTTCCTTCTTTTCCTTCCCTTTTGCCTCCCTTTTTTGCATAAAGTTCATCAATTTAATATGGCAGCCACATCCACAGCAATCTAACTAGGGATGGCAAACCAAACCGGTAACCCGAGAATCCGCCCAAACCCGACCCGATCAACGCGGGCAAAATTCGCTTTTGACGGGCGACGGGTCGGGCTCGGATTAATCCAAAATGGCGTGTTACGGGTGACGGACGGGGATCAGATTCACTACTATCCGCCCCGACTACGGCCCGAACATATATATACAACCCCTTTCTTTCAGAATTTCCCCAATTCCCCTAGAAGAAATCCTAACCCTAACCCACAGCCGCTCTCTGCCTCTCTCCCCTGACTATATGATTTCCATCCTAAAAAATTGAAAGAAATGGCTGTTCGATTGCTTCGACTGCCTAATTTATCGCGCCTGCTGCCCTATCCCACATCCCCACAACGATCCCTCCTTCCTTCCCATGATTATCTTCTTTCCTTCCCCATGGTGACGATAATTACTTTCCTTCTACCGAGAAGAGTCGATTCGACTGGTTTGATGGAGCTGCATATAAATAGGAGGTGAGTCTTTTTGTTCATTCTCGTATCTTCTTCCAAAATCCAGAATCACAGTTCAAGCTCTCTGTTTCTCATCTTCTTACCGGTTTGATCTTTGGATTTGATCTGTGCATGCGAGATATTGTTGTTGGGTTCAAGAACAGACCTGGGCGAACTTGATTATCGTCGTTGCTCTCTCTGTCAGTTCATGGTAAATGTTCCTTCTGCCGAGATATTGTTTCTAGGTTCAGCAACAGACCTGGCGAACTTGATTATCTTTTTGGATTTGATTATGTGTTTGTTGAGGTTCATGATTAATTGATTATTGATTTATACTAATCTTCCTAATATGTTTTTTGCCAGCAATCATGTCAATTGAAGAAGTGCAAGGGGCTGTCGTTTCTCAACAGAATGAACATGGTGCGAGTGGACCTGTTCTTGCACCTGCCATCAATGGCAACAATGGCAATGTGGAGGCTGCATTGGCAGCACCTACGAGCCAGCAGAATCCCAATGTTGTTAATGGTAATGTTGAGGAGGTAATCGATCTTGGTAGGCTTAAAAGTTCTGTCTGGGGTCACTATACCTAGGTTCGGGTTAATGGTGTTATCAAGGCTAAGTGAAACTACTGTAAGAAGTTGTTAGGTGGAGAATCTAACAATGGCACTACTCATTTAAAGAATCACACAAAAATCTGTGTTCAAAAGAAAATTAAAGATGGTAGTCAAAAGATCCTTGGTCCTCACTATTTGGCTCAAGGAAAACAAGACATGGTTGCTATTGTTTTCAACTCGGAATTTTCGAAAAGGGAGCTTGCAATTGCTATTACTATGCATGAGTATCCTCTGTCAATTGTTGAGAATTTGTATTTCAAGAGGTTCGTGTGCTCTCTGCAGCCATTGTTTACTGTACCATGTAGGAACACTATGAAAAAGAGGTGTTCAAGATTTTTGATACAAAAAGGGGTAAGATTCAAACTGTGCTTGATAACAATAAAGGTAGAATAGCAATAACTACCGATATATGGACTGCCACAACTCAAAAGAAGGGATACATGGCTGTTACTACTCACTATATCGACAACTCTTGGGTGCTTAGGAGCCACATGCTTAGGTAAGATTTGATAACTTTCTTGATTCTGTTTCAAACATTATAGATTGTTTGTGTTGGAATCATTCCTAATTGTTTACGTTTGTGTTTCTTGTGCAGGTTTATGTATGTTCCATCACCCCATACGGGTGAAAGGCTTGGTAAAGTGCTCTTTGGTTGTTTGGTCGATTGGAATGTCGGCAGTAAGGTATCCACTATAACTTTGGACAACTGTAGCACTAATGACTCTATGATCCGAGTAATATAGTCAAAATTAGTGGATTCATATCTTATTAGTGAAGGGTCCTTGATACAAATGAGGTGTTCTGCTCATATCTTAAATTTGATTGTGAAGGAGGGATTGGATGTTGTGAAAGTGGGAATAGAAAATATCAGGGACAGTGTTTTGTACTGGTGTGCGACCCCTAAAAGGGTGGAATTTTTCAAAAAAATCGCAAAACAATGGAAGGTGAATACTGATAAGGGGTTAGTTATGGATTACCCTACAAGGTGGAACTCCACCTTTAAGATGCTATCTGCTGCTATGCCTTATAAGGAATTTTTCACTAGACTGAAACAATGTGATTCTCAATACAAGTGTTTGCCATCAAATGAGCAATGGCAATTTGCTGCACTTGTTTATGAATGGTGTGTTGATGCTAACGAAGCGATAAGGGAGATGGCTGGTTCGATGTTGGAAAAGTTCAACAAGTATTGGGATGAGATCCACAAAATACTTGCTATTGTTGTGGTGTTAGATCCACGATATAAGCTGGCTATTGTGGACTATTATGATGAAAAGTTTGGGGATGATGGTTCTTGTTTGGCATCTGTTAAGAGTATCTTGTCTGATTTGGTTTTAGAGTACCAAACTAAACTGAATGAGAAGAAGAGCTTGAATGTTGCTGCTGGTATTGAGTCATCTACTCCTACCACAACTGATTTGGACTTTGAGCTTTTTGTGATTCAAATAAAAAAAGGCAAGGGTTACTGATGTCCATACTGAACTGGACCATTACCTCATTGAGGAGATTCTCCCTCGTTCAGCTGAGTTTGATATCTTAATGTGGTGGAAGTTTAATGGTCCAAAATATCCCATACTGCAAGCTATTGCAAGGGATGTTCTTGCCATTCCAGTTACCTCTGTGGCATATGAATGTGCATTTAGCTCTGGAGGTCGTTTGTTGGATCCTCGTAGGAGCAGACTAGATTATGCTACTATAGAGAGACTGATGTGCACAAGGAGCTGGTTGCAGAATGGTCTTAGTGAAGGTAATCGATAAAGCAAACCTGGATCAGTCTGTTTTTTCATTTCGTTTTTAACCAAACTGGTTTTAATGTCATTTGTTTGCACTTGCAGAAGCTGATGCTGGAACAGGAGTGCTGGAAGGATGTTTCTCCACCCCAAATTAAGCCAATTTCGGCCAACCTGATGTTGAAGTCGAAGGTAACAAACTAAAACTTCTTCTACTAAACTTATAAGTTGTTTTACATATGCATATGTTAATGATGTTTAGCTTTTAAATGTGTAGATCAAGTTCCTGAAATCAAACTTCTTGATGATTAAACAACCTTCTTACTGGTATCCTTTCTAGTAAGTTGTAAGTAAGTTTGTTGAATGTTGTAGCTTGTGATGGAATGGTGGTTCTGCTGATGGATGAGCTACTATTGGAGATGAAGTATGTTGCTGGAATGGTGGTTCTGACACATGCAGATGGAGAATTGGATTTTGTTGTTTTCTATTCAGTTTAAGAATCATGATATTATTTTGCATGGTTTGGATTACTACAATGGCTTGTCTTGGATGATTTCTTTTGGTTGAACTTAGGACAAGTCACAAGTTCATGTTTTGTTCCATGTTTCGTTGTTGATTGTTGTGCTACTGCCACTGTGGCAGTGCCTAGTGTTATTTGGATTTAAATCTATCTATCCAGTAACAATTTTGTGTTCATGCTCATTGGATTTTAGGCTATTGTTTCTCTAATTTATGGCTAAATTTGGATCAGTTTCGGATCCACGGTTAACCCGAACCCCAAAGCCGGGCGGGGCTGGTAATTGGTTTTCACCCGAATACTTGCATTGGGCGGGTTTTCCCCGAACCCGAAATGCAGCCGGGCGGGCAACGGATCCATGTAAATCCGGGCCCGATCCGTCCGAATGCCAAGCCTAAATCTAACATCTGTATTCCAATTTCCAATCCCTCCCTTGGAGAGCTAGCCCACTCTTTTCCTTTCATTAACGTCATTGAGACGGATGTTTTAGCTTTTATTTGTATCAGAAGGTTTGAGCGTCTAAGTATTCGTTCATCCTAATAATCACTATGTATAGGTTAATTTAAAATTTTGATTGCCTTTCATTATATGAGTTTGCATAACAGAATTAGCTATGGATCTTATAATATATCTTTGAGATGGTAAAATATAGCGACATCACAAACTGAATTCAACTATGTGACTCATAAATTAAGTCATAAATATTTAAGAACTTTTACGCAGCTTTCAAATTTGTGTTATCAAAGATAAACATGCCTGGGCGGATATTACCTGCCTCATGTGCGACAAAGAATGAGTCAGCATATAGCAACCCAATCATGGAGTAAGTCAAGTCAATGGGTTAGGAGTCGAAGTTGAAGACAGATTCATTATTACCCACCTCGTACTCGCCTCATTTTCATTTTTAGGATTATTTCTAATTGTCATTTGTGATAAAATTGTAGGAAAAGTTGATTTTTTATGAGTGAGAAGAGAGTCCTTTTCCAATTTGAATAGCTGAACCAGTTAGTTATGGCAATCTGATAATTTCTCGTTGATTATTACCCGACCTGACCCGCACAAGACGAGTAATACCCGACATGCATGGTGATGCATGAGTACTACTTTGGGCACGTCCTGCCCCATTTTCAACGTGTTTTACCCGATTTGTCTCAATATCTATTTGCATTTCTTCTATTTGGACTTATCTTAACTCATATTTATACTCAGATGATACTTTAGATACGTGCAAGACTTCATTTTTCAACTAATTGAACTCAATTAATCTATACATTATCTCTATTTTCATATGTTGTCTTTATTCTATCCATAGTTAGTAAAATACAGTACGGGAAAGTTGCGTATAAAATACGTATGGGTATTTACTTCATCTCTAAGCTAAAGTTACGTTTAATAGTACGTTAATAGTCATAAATATATTAAATTAATTATTTTAAAAATAAATAAATATATAAATACTATTATAGTTAACAATTTAATTCATAAAATACGGATAATAAACGTGTTATAGGATTTTATACGTGTTTAGTACGGGAGTCATCAAATGAACGGAAAAAAATAAAACCGCTTGACAATAATACAGATACGGAAGTTTTAAACGGATAAAATACGGGTACATATACGTGTATTAAACGGAGTATTTACTAACTATGATTCTATCGTTAAAAATAAATATATTTTGAAATAATATATAAATTGATCAATGTATTCGGATGCAGATAAATATTATCCAACCTAACCACACTTAATGCGGGATAAATATGAATATTGAGCTACCACCGGCACATTACCATCACTAAACTCAGTTCACTTGATTGATAAATAGTTAAATACAGACTCGGCCACTCGCCGGCCAAATGGAAGGGTGTATGCAAAGGCGGATCCAATTTCACTTGTAACAAGTAAAAGATTCTTTGAACAAACTTAACTAACATAACAGTAGACAAGGGCGAGGCATGACGGGTTAGATCAGGTCCTTAAGACCTCTTTTTTAAGTAAGATCTTAAACCCCTTTCAACCAATAGGAGAAGGAAAGAGGTAATGATTAGTAATTATTGGGTAACTACCTATCTAATACGTTAAAGGGTAAGACAGGAATATAAAAATATTTAATAATGTTATTAATTAAAATGAAAATGGCGAAAATCCACACAAACGTTGAATTAATGGGGGTTTCGAGAATTAGTCTCCTCCCAACCCTAAAATCGTTCATCCTCCAAAAGTCGCCGTCGTGCCACGAAGCCGACGAGACTCTTTCTTCCCGACGTATGGTCTCGCTGAACCGACATTGCGTTACCGTCCACCGTCGCGCCTCGTCTCTTCGTAACGCCTCGTTTGTCGTCGTCGCACAACCACTTCCTTTCATAAGCGTCGGCAGCCTTCATCAGTCTTCAGCTTCGCTGACGTCGATTTCCCATCAGCTTCCCGTCCCATTCCCGCCATCATCCTGTCTGACTCCGCCGTCGTCCCGCCGCCATCCGACATCTCCCCATCCGGTCGTCACCCCATCTTGCCGGTCTCCCACTGTCGAGGCGGAGTTTGTTAATAATATTATTGTTTACGTTGAAAAACGAAAAGAATTTGTTAATAATGAATTCGTCATTTGTTGTAAATTATGTAAGAAATGTTAATAATGATATTGTATATTGTTAATATTGCTGAGCTGAAAAAGTTGATAATAGCATCACTAAAAATGTTTACAACACAACAAGTGAATCAAGCTTCAATTTGATTGAGAATGTTAATAATAGCGTCACTAGAAAATGTTAATAAAGTAGGTGAAAACATTAATATGTACTGTTAAAACGTTGACAACTCGGTTAAGCTGCTTTAATAATTCCGATGATCTAATTAATAATAATGATGTGGTAGGTTAATAATGTTTACAACATGATCGGTAAATTGCGTTTCAATTTGATTGAGAAGGTTAATAATAGCATCACGGAAAAGTGTTGATAACGTATGTGAAAAAACTAATATGTATTGTTGACAACGTTGACAACTCCGTTACGTTGCTCTACAAATCTCAAATCAGAGGCTCCCCTTATTGTCACAACATTTTAGTTACCGGTTAATAATTTCAGTAATATAATTAATAATAGAGTCGAGAGGTTAATATTGTGGACAATACGCCCATTACATCACATTTTTTAATTGATAATTCTAGTAGCATCAGTAAAAAATGTTAATAACGTATACCAAATCATTAATATGTACGGTTGAAAATGTTGACAAATCAGTTACATTGCTTTGAAAACCTCAATCAACCAGCTTCTCAATCCACATGCTCCTCTACGTTGACAACTCCGTCGCGTTTCTTTTTGATTGCAAGCGACGGACGTAGAGGGCCGACAATAAGTTTGTTCTTAAAGATCTTGGATTGTGGTATATCGTGTAGCACAAATTTTTTTTTATAATTACGTTCAAAATATTAATAATGCTGAAAAAACGTTAATAATGAAGAAAGATTGTTAATACTACTCGTTAATTCAACCGGCATATTAATACTAGTAAAAACTTGAACATGACTTTGAAAATATTACTAATGGACGAAGAAAATTTAATAATAAACTAAGATTGATAATATTACACGTAAATTCAGCAGAGAGATTAATAATAACACATGCTTAATAATAAGATGAGACATTATCAAATCATGCAGGATTGATCACAGCACTTCAAAATATTACAAATCACTATGAACTAAATTGATAATAAACTATATTAGTGAATTAATGCTGATTACAAATAAATTGATAAAACATTTACAAAACGACAATAAAAAAGTTAATATCACAACATAACATAATTAACAGGCCTATCAGACAACATTGACAATATGAGAAAAAAAATTGATTATTGGGTGGGTAAAAATATTGACCATAGCCCTTCAAAAGATTACAAATCATGGCTACGTAAATTGATCATAAACGGTATTAGTGAAAAACCCTAAGTAGATATTATTAGTTTTAACAATCTTTGTAATGTGGGATAAGAAAAGTACAAGAAATAATTGATAATGAGATTAGTAAAATTGATAACGAAGCTGATATTATTAATAAAGAATGCATGTACGCTAATAATGGAGATATATAAACATATTGATAATGGCCTTCAAACTATTACTAACGGGTGTATATATATTATGAATGCATACCTGTGAGTTACACTACTATCATTATCAATTGATAATGGCCTTCAAACTATTACTAACTGACAGCGACAGCGACGGTGGAGAACATATACAGGAGCAGAACCACCGGCCGGAGATCTCAGCGGGGGGAAGCTGGACCGATGGCGACAACAGAAGTTTGGTTTGGCGTTGGTGGACTTGAACGATGACTGCAACTGGAGCTAGCTGCCCTCGGTGAAGAACGCTTCCGGAGGATCGCAGTCGGAGAACTCAACGGGAGGGACAGACGGAGAACTCATCGGGAGGGACGGTTCGCCTGCTTGCGAGAGGAAAAAGAAAAAGACAGTGGGAGGGACGGTTCGGACGCTTGCGGGAGGGAAAAGAAAGAGACGTGGGTATATACATCACTAGGGTTACGGTTTTTAATTTAATTGTAATTCCCTTAATAACCCTAACAACTATTTAACTAATAACTCCCCACTAACTATCTAAAATTGAATCCGTCAATCACAACGCTTTAAGATCCTCCTTAAAAAAGAGGGTTTAAGGACCTGAACCTAGGCCAAGGCCGGAGCATCTTCCTCTCCTTCATTCCCCTGTTCCTCATTCCCTTCGATTTGCTCGTCTTCTCTGCAATTGATCTTTACCCCCAACTCTGATTCCTAACCCAGTTCCTGAAATCGAATTGGAAGTTGAATCGGCCATCTGGGACTGGGGGGAAGGCTAGCTTCATGGCGGTGACGGAGCGCTGAACAGCGGCCAGTTCAGTAGAGAGAGAAACTAAAACATGCAGCTGAGTTTGCAGAGGTGGTTCGGATCCGGAGCTTCCCATCAATTGGTGGAAACAATCTGTCGGCCGTTAATGAAGTTGCCAACGAGATCGTCGGCTGTCATCTTCCCCGTTTTGTTCCTCTTCGGCGGCGCGTTGATCTCCACTCGCCTCCTCGACTCCAATGCGTTCAGCGGTTCAGCTCGGGAACTGGAGCCGGGGAAGGCTCTAACAGCCAGAAGAATCATGCTTCCAGACAAAATCCCGAAAAAGCATCTCGAGATTCCACTGGACTGCACTGCACTCAACCGCACCGGAACCTGCGATCGCCGGTGGCTCACCAGAGTCCGTTTTCTGTCGCTGATGTTCGCCAAGTCCTGCAGAACACAATTAATACGGTAGTTATTGAGATTAAAACCACTTGTCCTCAAGTTGGTTACAAGGCTTTACGGCCAGAAACGACAATCGCCGGAAAAGCCTTAATTGGGCTAATAAATCGTCTCCTTAATGACGAGATAGAGCGCTTTGAGCCTCTAATAAACAGAGCCTTTCAAGGCTGCTGCGTTCGCCAGCATAATGGGCGTAATCTAATGATCCTTTCACTAATCAACCCATTATTTTTAGAATAATTAGCCCATCAATTATTGGGCTAGTGTAGTAAAAAAAAAACCCAGTGTGTATTTTATCGCTGGGATTTGAAACAAGGAGTAATTGGGTGATTAATTAAGGGATTTACTTACATTTCCTTCTTTGTCCCCTTTTCATATTAATTGGGACCAATGGATAATTATGAAATTAATTGGTTTCATATTAATTGTGCTCAGATTCTTCATATGACAATGCCTCAAAGTCATACTTTCCACAGTAGTGGCCCTTCAAACTCGTGGAGTAAACTGTCTTAACCGATGGCCTGGCTGCTGGAGACATCGAGAAAGCATTGAACATTTATTATTCAGATGCCCCCTAGCCATCAGATTGTGGACTTTAGTGGGATTGAGCAACTTTATTGAGACCGCCCAGACTGTTAACTTTAGTCTATGGTGGCGACATGTCATGGTCTCCGAGACCTCCCCATTCCACATTCTCCAATGCGTCCGTTTACTTTGGAGAATCTGGAAGTCTAGAAATAAAGTGACCTTAGAATTTATCCAACCTCATGTGCGTTCCCTAGCCAGACAGTTCTACATCCAGGTCCTCGAATCTCCAGTCTTCTTCTCCCCCCCCCTCCCCGCAGCTCTCTACCTTCCTGCCACCATTTGAGTCCCTCCACCAGAAGGCTTTTTGAAGATCAACGTCGACGCAGCTGTTTGTGCCTCCGGGTGCTCGTCTGGGCTTGTTATCCGTGGGTCAGACGGGCATGTGATGTTGGCGTTCGGGTTTCAGCATCAAGGAATAGTCAACCCTTATTTGGCAGAGCTTCTAGCTTTCAGGAATGCTATCTCCTTTGTAGCCTCAAGATCCTTGACCCACGTGATAGTCGAAGGTGATTCTGAAGTGGTCGTCAACCAAGCCCGTCAAGGCGTCTTAAAAGACTCGATTGGTGGTCCGGTGTTACGAGAGTGTCTTCAGATCCTTAGCTCTTTGTCTGTTTGTATAGAGTTTAGGGCGGTACCTAGATCCGCCAACAGTGCTGCCCATAGAGTGACGCGTAAAGCCCTGCTTTTGCCTCGTGTAGAGCTAGAATCTTTTGATTTTTTGGGACGACTTCTTTAAAGTATTTTAGGGGGTCCTGAATAGAATTGTAAGCTTAACTATTATTTTTTATTAATATCACTCATAAATAAAAAAAGACTCGGCCACTCGGCTTAACGGTTAAGTGCTAGCATAATCAAGCTTCATGTTTGTTTTGGGCTTCGTCCTTCAAAGCCCAAATTGGCACAATCCAATAGGCTGAACTCTTGGAGAACTTGGGTACTCAAATCGCCGACGACTCGACGCTATAGGTCGGCGGGAGGCTGACCGACTCCAATCCAGTTTCTTCTCCGTCTTCCAAAGAACCTCCAGCAGGTCACCTTTCTCGACATCAGTCAGAAAGGCTTAGCTACAGTGTTCCACAGTCGGATAGCGATTCACTGGAGTGGAGTATCATCCAAGTTTCTGAACCCTAATTCAATTGCAACTCCTCCCAATCGGAAAAGAAAATGGGGAAGAAACAGCACAGCAAAGATCGGATGTTCATAACGAGAACGGAATGGGCAACGGAATGGGGTGGTGCTAAGTCCAAAGAGCTCCGGACGCCTTTCAAGCGTCTTCCCTTCTATTGCTGCGCGTAAGAATTCTTCTTACCACCATCCTCTTGTAGAATTTGTATTGAACGATGGAGGGGTCCTCTTTGAATCGTCAGTTCTGATTGTTTGTCTTTTTCTTGCAGTCTCACGTTTACGCCATTTGAGTCTCCTGTGTGCACAACTGATGGCAGCATCTTCGAAATCATGTACCGATCGAAGTTTCTGTTCTTTCTTTTTGTTATCAGTTTAGGTTTTGTTTGCGGGTATTGGATTCCTGACGTGTAGCTTTCAATGGTTCAGGCATATCATTCCTTACATAAAGAAGTTTGGTAAGCACCCAGTTACTGGAGCTCCGTTGAAGCAAGGGGACCTTATCCCACTCAACTTCCATAAGAACTCTGAAGGTTTACGCCCTATCTTTGCTATTGAGCATCTTACTGATATTGTGTTAGTTCGGGCCTGCTTGTGTTGAAGTAAATTTGACTGTATGGTGACGAATGAGAATTTGATGGTTGGTCAATCTGGTCTTGCTTTACTCTGATAATATGGAAGTTCTGTATACATTCCTTTACTTAGTTGTAAAATCTGAGACCTAGATTGAGAATGGGGATTCTTAGTGTTTAGCTCTGTGAATCGAATAATAAGATAAAGTACGTATATCGACAGTTCAATCTGTAATCGCTTTAGACTATAGATAGTCCAGGCTTAATTGGAGCAACGGCCACCTTGACTCTGCAAGGCACTTGTGCTTTTGGATCGTCCTCAAAATAAATGAATTTGCTGAAGTTTCATTTCATGTTGTTGCATCTTAATTTCTTGATTAGTGTTTTGTGTAAGTAATGCAAATCTAAATTGAAAGTGCATGAGTGGGACAAACTAAACATAACTTAGCTCACTGATTAGTCTGATGAAAGTGAAGAAACACATGGAGCAGCATTATATGGCTGGGGCCTGGGGGTGTGTGTTGGTGACTTCTTGTTATCATCAATTATCATGAAAGCAGGATCCATGTTTGGATACCTTGCTCCTCTTTTTGCATTCACCATTTGCATCTGCTTGATGGCCAATTCAATGTGTTTAGTAACCTAGTATCTTTTGTTTTTTCTAAACAGAAGAGTTCCATTGCCCAGTGCTCAACAAAGTTTTTACGGAGTTCACACATATAGTAGCCATCAAGACTACTGGAAATGTTTTTTGCTATGAGGTTTGATGCTTTCTTATTATCTGGTTTGTTATTTCAGCCAGGTTCCCCTTCTTTGTAATATTTATCATTTGTTGAAATTTATGTGTTCAGGCAGTGAAAGAATTAAATATCAAGACGAAAAACTGGAAGGAGCTCCTTACTGACGAACCATTCACTAGAGAGGATCTGATTACACTCCAGGTAGTTCACATTATTTATGGATGGCTAAATATTTTGTAATGTCATTCCTTGCCCTGATTGTTTTTGTAACATATGATCTTATCTCTTTGGTTTCTATGAAGAATCCTAATGCTCTCGACTCTAGAGTTACTGTTGAGTTTGACCACATAAAGAATGACCTGAAATTAGATGATGAAGGTAAGATCATACGGATCAAATGCTGTCAAATATAGATTTTATTACTTGGCCTTCCACAATTTTGGCTAATAGAAATTTTCTCGTGTCCTAGAGCTGAAGAAGATGACTTCAGATCCAGCTTATAACATAAACGTTAGTGGTGACATCAAGCAAATGCTGGATGAACTTGGAACTGAGAAAGGAAGAGAAGCTGCACTCCATGGAGGTGGTGGTAGCAAGGCACGAAATGAGAGAGCTGCTGCGCTTGCTGCAATTTTAGCTGCGAGATCACGGATTAAAGAAGATTCAAAATCGAAATCCAAAGATGAAGATAGACCATCCAAGGGATTCAGTGTTGTTGATGCTGCATCAGCTGCAGTTCACGGGAGAAGTGCTGCAGCAGCAAAAGCCTCATCAACAGATAAGACAGCTGCCCGCATAGCAATGCATATGGCTGGTGAGAGGGCACCTGTCAATGCGAAGCTGGTAAGTGACCTTTAAGCTTCCGTTTAAACTGCTTTAGATATATGATATATGCTTAGAGTATGTGTCCTTGTTCCACCTCTCTTTGGGTTTATCTGCCTAAGGCATTTCCACTGCTTTTGCATTTGCTTATGAAGACGTTGTCAAGAAAGGAATAACTAGATGTCTCATTGGCCGTAGACTAACATGTGATTTCCTTTTCAGGTGAAGAGTCGCTACACCACTGGTGCTGCCTCTCGATCTTTCACTTCTACTGCTTTCACCCCCGTGACTGAAAATGAGTATGAATATGTTAAGGTCGAGAGAAACCCAAAAAAGAAAGGTTATGTGAAGTTGCATACGACGCATGGTGATCTGAACATTGAGCTGCATTGTGACATCACCCCGAGGGCCTGTGAGAACTTCTTAACACTTTGTGAAAAGAACTATTATAATGGAGTTATATTTCACAGGAACATACGGTAAGTTATTCATTTTGCTATGCCACGATGAGTTTGACGTCCCTGGTTCATACCTTCTTTTGGTAGCATGTTGATTCAGTAGTTGGGGGTTATATGTGCAGGAATTTCATGATTCAGGGTGGTGATCCCACGGGAACCGGGAAAGGGGGTGAATCTATATGGGGCCAACCTTTCAATGATGAGCTGAACTCCAAGTTGGTTCATTCCGGAAGAGGCGTCGTTAGTATGGCGAACAGTGGTCCCCATACGAATGGATCTCAGTTTTTCATCCTGTACAAGTCTGCTAATCATTTGAACTTTAAGCATACAGTTTTCGGGACGGTTGTTGGTGGGTTGACTACGTTGGCGACAATGGAGAAGGTTCCTGTTGATGACGATGACCGACCTCTGGTGAGTTGTTCTGCTTTGCATGCCCCTGGTTGATTTACGTTGGAGCAAATGAGAGACCGAAGTTCCAAGAAATTATAGATAATTGCTTCTGGCCCTGGGCGATAAACTCATTTCCTTGTTCTGCAGGAAGAGATAAAGATAACTGGTGTGACGGTGTTTGTGAATCCGTACACTGAACCTGATGAAGAAGAAGAGGAAAAGGCGAAAGCCGAGGAAGCTGCCCTGGACGCTGATAAGGTCAGTCCCTAGACACCCCTTGGAAACCTCTTGGTTCTTTGTATGTTTCCCCTAAGGTAATGTTGTTCGAATATTACGAGATTTGCTTCTTTTCTTCGGAAACTCCAGGACAAGGTTGGCTCGTGGTATAGCAATCCAGGCACAGGCGCGACAGATTCTGAAGCCGGTAGCGGTGGCGTCGGAAAGTACTTGAAACCGAGGAGTGCCGGAACAGAATCAGCTGCTGCTTCCGCTGATCTCGCCACAGTTTCAGTTGGCAAAAAGAGGAAAGTTGGAGGTCCAGCAGTAGAATTCAAAGACTTCTCTGGCTGGTAACAAATTTTCTCTTGTAGTGTTGTAACCCCATGCTGCTGTATTATCTGGTTGATTTGAGATTCACAGTGTTAGGTTCGCTACTGTACCGGACTTTGTATCGAAACGTGTATGTTGGATTTTGTTGATCCTTTACATGCTTCAGTGAGTTTGGACGAGCTTAATGGTAGAGAAAGGTAGAAGTGTAGAGATATGTGATGTAACTAGCCACGGGCCCGGCCAGTTAGTCGGATACATTTCTTCAATAACATAAACTACCTTAGCAATTAGTAAGCGAATTATATATTTATTTAACAGTATATGAAAATATAAATTATTCAATTATCTAAACATTCAATCAGCAAAGAGAATCCAAATTATTAAATACTTGAATCATTTAATAGGATCAACATAAGTGTTTTCCAATATTCTAAACGAATTATAGACTTATAAAGTTATAATTCTTTAAGAAAATGAAAGATCAACCTTATGCAAAGGAACCGGCTACTAATAAGATGTTTGACTCAGCCTTTTATTTACTCCTCGTTTTCAGAGATGATTGCACGTTCATTTTATGGACTTTGATGAGGAATTTCATCTCCACCAATAACAATGTATTCATATCCCTTTGTGAAAAATTTATCTCCGTTATTAATTGTATTTTCTTTATTCTCTTGCATTTCAATAGTATCTTGTTTTCGTGCATTTCATTTACCACATTTATTTTGGCTACAATAATTTATTTTATTGGAGTATAATTCACCTAGTCCAAATAATCAACATCATCCACGATGTGTTTTGCTCCCCATCACATGTACTTGTATCTAGGGGTGGAAGTTTGGTTTGTGGGTTGCGGGTAACCCGCAAACCGCACACTTTGTGGATACCCATACCCACAATTTGTGGATAGCGGGTTGGGAGTGGGCAACAAAATATTGATTTTTGTGATTAGTGGTTAACCACTACCCATAGCGGTTTACCCACAAAATCCACATTAACCACATTAGTTATATTGATTTCAAAATACTTTGTAACCCTTATTAACCACACTAGTGTTGTATCCGGCCTGTTGGCCGATTTGTGGCCATTGAGTATTTTTTAGTTAAACGTAATTAGTACGATTTTTAGTATTGTATACTGGTGGTGCGAAAAAGTACATTGATAGTTTATATTTTTTACTTTTGAGTGTCCATTAACTTTAAAATTCTTATTGAATTTGTGTTTCGTTTTATACTTAACCATAAGAAGTTTAAAATAGCCAACTAATGAAATGAAAAGCTATCTAGAATCTATATTCATGCCTTGAGATATTAAACATCACTGAATCAAAACAACAAATTTCAAAAAAGATCTTTATTTTCGTTATATGTGAAATAAGTAGCTTGCAAATGAATCTTTCAAAATTAATTAACATATCACTATTTTGATTTATATATTGTAGATTTTCATCTATTGAATTAAAAAGGAAATAATATATAGAATATTACTATAGATGTATTACATTTAAATAGTTTAAAGATACAAAAATCTGAGGAAAAGAGAAAAAAAATGTGCTATGAAAATAGATTATTTAGAAAATTATGTGGAGCAAGTACGATACAAAATATTAATTTAGATGTATTAAATTTTTATTTTTAAAAGAAATGATAAATATTAGCAAAAGAATATTTTGACTTGAAATGGCCTTTGTAGGTTATTCATCATTTGAACTTTAGTTATCAAAATTCAAAGTTAACGTTTAACAATATGCTCATATTTTTAAATGTTTTATTAACTATATCCTATGTTTTCAAAAGTGAAGCGTTTGCCAGATGAAAAATGTCAATGACTCACGATTAATGGTTTATCGTTATACAACTATTTTGTAATCGTTAATGGAACTATTCATTCATGTAAATAGTATATCTATAAATAATAGCATAATTAGGTGGAAGAAGTATTTAAGTTGTTCCGTTGGACCATATTTTACGTTTAATAATTTTCTAATAAAACCTTATCTTGTATTGACAGGTTTGTTATGGTCTATGATCCCAATAAATTATATGATAGAACGAAACTAAAAATAAATGAAATTAAAGATGAAAGTCAAAATAACTTTTGATATGGTTGCGATTCATTCATTTTTCTTCGACTTTAAGCAATTAAATAGATTAAATAAAATTCAAGTAATTTTTGGTTGATCTAATTCGACACAAATATCTAGTCGATATGATATGTATGGAATTATTGTTTAACCTACGACTAAGCATGTGATCGTACCTTTCAAAATTTAATGTAAAAAACTAAATATGCTTATTGGAAAATTTAAAGAATTGAAAAAAATATAAATTGATTATATTTTGCCAAGATTTCCCATTTTTCTTCCTCTTCATGTTTGCCGAAATCACTGTGAAATTAAGTTCTAAAGCATTTGAGAGTTGATACTTGGTCAATCTGTTTAAAGTAAAAGCCTAATGCGAAATAATCTATTCAGAAGGAATCTCTTCCCAAACGTACACAATCATTATCTCATTTAGGAGCTAAACAACTTTAGATAACCTCTGAATTCAATTATTTTTTGTTTGATCTAATTTGACGCAAATATCTACTCGATACGATATGGATGGAAATATTGTTTAACCTACGACTAAGCATGTGATCGTACCTTTCAAATTAAATGTAAAAAAATAGACATGCTTATTTGAAAATTAAAATAATTAAAAACAATAGAAATTGATTGTATTTGCCAAGATTTTCCGTTTTTCTTCCTCTTCATGTTTGCCGAAGTCACTGTGAAATTAAGATTTTAAACCTTTAGAGGGTTGATACTTGGTTTATCTGTTTAACATAAAAACTAATGCGAAAAAATCTATTCAGAATGAACCTCTTCCCAAACATCCACGCCACAACAATATATCATCTTCGTCATCTTGAAATCCAATTCGCAGTCATTATCTCATTCAGGAGGTAAACAACTTTAAATAACCTCTGTTTTTTCCTTAACCACACAAAATAAATCTACGCAGAGCAAATTTCAAATATTATTATAATAGCATTTACCTTAAAATAAATATTCTTTTCCCTTAATCCTAATCTCATTTACAAAAAAGAAAACCAAAAGTCCAATAATAATGAGTGACCCTTGGGTTTTGGAAAATGGGCAAAATTGCCCTTCCACCAAATAAAGAGAACGAATCAAAGTGCAAGGTGGCAACAATGAGTTAGAGTGAAGTGCATAATATATTGTGTAGATGTAGATTAGTTATATTAGTTTGTGAAACTTGGAAGACTAAGAATTAAAGTAGCTACCAAAATCAAATACACACTTATTCTATAAAACAAAACCAAGTCAATACACAATGTTCATGTGAGATACTTTTTTTCAATAAGCATTATCCGTGTGGTATATATTTATTTTATAACAAAATAAAGTCCGTAGATAGTCAGATAAATTAATCGATTCGTTAACATAGGGGAATAATCTATAAAGATTAGTCTGATACCAAACTCATCTCCATTTCTCCATGAACTCACGAACAACACAACATGCAACCAGCTACTAACAATACAATACTATAATTGAGAGTGGAGAAAACCGATTCATTAAAAGCGGGTGTCTCCACTTATTGAGCCACTTTTGTGTTTTGATTTTGTTGCCATTGGAGGAGCTGTGAGATGCAACGATGTTTGTCTAGTAATTAACTTATTGTATTCGAGATTTATAATTTATTTAACACATTATTAACTTTATTTTATGTATGTTTTTGTTTGAGAAGAAACACAATATCACTATTTATTTACCATATTATTATATTTAATGTGAAATTTTTGTGGGTATCCACAACCAACCCGCAACGGGTAGTGGTTAACCACTACCCACTGTGGGATGGGTTATGGGTAGCATAATTCTATATTTGTGGGTGTGGTTACACGCAAAATGTGAGGCGGGTAACCACTCACACCCACCCCAATTTCCACCCCTATTATCTCCCTTATGAACACTGTCTTCCTTTTTTTCTCAGCAGCAACATCATCTCTAGCATTGGATTCATTACATCCAACATTATTAATTTAGATTGTTGACATTTAAAAGTACAACATATGGTGATATTTTATCAAATCATAAGTGATTAATATATATATTGGAGTAAAAATTGTAGTTGGATACATTTGCACGCATGTTAGAGGGAGATTTAGTAATGTTATGTTGGAGTTTGAAGTTCTAAACAACATCATTTGTATACAGATTAAAGAATACAACTAAGTATCATTCGAAAAACATGGTTATAATAATTGATAGCTTTACAAATTGAAGATGTATACAGTTGATAGCAAGATAGTTAGTGGATGATAGACACAATCAATTGCAATACAAAATGAAATATTCCACGGGTGCATGTTACAGATACAATCAAGTGAAGAAGATCGTTTTCATTTTGCTCTTCCTCATCCTTCCCGATCATGTAAATCATGTACTCACTTTTTGGGTTAGAGATGTGGTAATCGTTAAGCCTGATGTTGAAATTTAACACAATTTCCTTAATTTGTAGAAGACGAGAAGGTGGCGGTCCTCTCATGTTATCATGGTCTTGGAATAGCATCACAACCGACATTACAGAAAATCGAGCTCCAATACCATACATAACAACAAAGCCAGCTTCAATTATTTTGTCCACAACTCAAAGGTGGATCATGAATATAATAATAATAATAATAATAATAATAATAATAATAATATACACAACCATAGGAATTGTGTTAAGTAAGATACTATTTAGGGGTCGTTTGGAGAATATGAGTTTAAATCTATAGATTGTCAACAATCTAAAGATTCTAACTCTTCGGATTGTTGAAAATAGATTTTAAAATGGTTATTGTTTGGTAACTGTGATTGTTAACATTCAATGAAAATAAAAAAAATATTTTATATTAAATAATGTGTTTATTCTTAATAAAAATTAGAGTGGTTCGAGAAATATTAAAAACTTTGTTGATAAATATATTTAATATGATAAATAAATAAACAAAAGAGAAAAAGTAGGAGGAAAAAAATCTCACGAATCAAGATATAGAATCTCTCTGATTATGAGAGATTTGATATCCGTAAATTTTAGAGATTTGAAATCTCTAAAGCTCAAATCCACAATACAAAAAGCAACAAAAAAACATAACTTTCTACAAAATCTACGGATTCAATGAATCTACGCCCTAAATCCCGTTCTCCAAACGACCCCTTAGTTGGTACAGAAAGAATCAAAGTATTCAATTCCTAATAGAAAAAGTCATTGTATTAAACCACATTGTTAATATTACCATAAAAACTTCAATAATTATCGATGAAAATTATAGGCAGAGGGAACAATAAGAAGCACTTATGAAATCCTGAAATGATTAGCATTTATTTATTCGAAGACACTAAAAATGCTGAAATATATACTTTGTTAAGGTCTTTCGCTAGCCACCTCATGCCAAACCATATTTCTTGTGCACATAATATTTCCAACTATATCCTTAGTATGCTTTGCCAATTATTAAGAAAATATTATTTATTGTTGCATTGTTAATATAATCTACTTTGAAGAGAAATAAACATCCAGCCATTTGGTATATATAATTCATGAGCGAACTACAGCAAACTCAACGTCACATTAATAATGGTTTCAAGTTCAATAGGTTGCTATTTGAGGTTGTTATCTTTGACGTTGTACAGTTTTCATAGAAGTGTTGGCATTAGATAGGTGATGAGCCGATAAAGTGAAATAGATACTTACATCTTCTCCCTCCTTTATTTTTATATTGATTTAGCTCTTGCAAGGTTTTGATTTTGGATTAGTTGTTGAGGTTTTTCTGAGCTTTTCACTAGAGAAGGTGGTGCATCTCCGACATTGTTTTGTCCACACAAAAAAGAGAAAGATGATTTATCTTTTTTTCATTTTGAATCATACGTGTTTCTAAGTAAAAGCATTTTAGTTAGCTAATAGCGTAAAAACGTAAGATTTTAATTTGTAAAGTACAATTTTCACAACATTGGTTGCCACTCACCTAGGTCCATTAAGTGATTCCTCTATTATTGTTGTATCGCATAAAGTTTAAAATGAACTTATGAGTTAAGGTTTTCAAAAAAAAAAAAAAATAATTGTTCACTTGATTTATACTTCAAAGATTGATACATGCATGTAACCATCCGGAGTAGTGGAGTACAATTAGAGTTTTTTTTACAAAAGATAATCATATATATTGATTGAAAACAGATAGTTACATCCTGGACAACATCCAGGCTTGGAAATCAAAACATTGACATGTAGTCGGGTACAAAGAAAGGGCCTTTCTAGCCACCAAATGGGCTACCCTATTGCTACTCTGATCTACAAAGCGAACATTAAGCGTAGTATGAACCCTGAACACCCGAATGAGTTCCTCAAGAACAGACCCAACCCGACTATCCTAAGCGTCTCGCCGATTGATTTTATCAATAAGGACCTAGGCATCACCTTGGAAACAAGTCTCCAGAAACCCCAATTCTAGGCACCAACATACCGCCTCGCGCAGGACCAACAACTCTGCTACCATCGGGTCATCCATCCCAGGAAACTGCACCCCTCGAACCAGCAAGACATGCCCAGTGAAGTCTTTTATCACAATTCCACCAGCCGAGTGAGACCCCGAGCTCGTCAACCCATCCCACATACAAGTAATGGAATGCGACAGATTGGCATTACCTAACACACCAAGAGGTGGGGCAGCACGCAGACATAGATCGACAGGGAGGCGTACCCATTCCTGATACTGTTGATGAAACTGACAGAGGAGGACAGGAATCCCAAACTGTTTTCCTTCCAAGACAACCCAATTTTGGGAACGCCAGATCCGCCAGAGGACCGCCACAACAACCATCAGCTAATGGGACTGATGTAGAAACAAAAGCTTCTTCAAAAAGAGAGGAAAAGTATGCTGAGGCAACGCTTGACCAAGATGCTCAAGGCCCGACAGATCCCAAAGCGCCCTGGCTACAGGACAGTCAAGGAAAAGATGCTCCATCGTCTCTTTTTTCGCCCAACACACCGGACACCGCGACACCACCTTAATACCTTTCTCAATCAAGGCCTCTGTCGTGGGTAAATGCTGCTGAAAGACCTTCCATAAGAACACTTTGAGCTTAGGAGGAATATTAGCAGTCCACACACGGATCCAACTAGGCTTGTCCATCCATCTAACACTAGATCGCCACCTGCCACCCTTCTTATCAAACAAGACCACTAGGTGATAAGCCGATTTAACTGTGAATTTCTCATCGTTAATCTCATGCCAGATGAGTCTATCCTCTATATCCGCAAGAGGGAGAGGAATCGTCTTAATGGCCCGACATACCTCCGGATCAAACCACTGACTAAGCCTCTGATCACACCACTTACCCTCAACCTGACACATCACCGTATCCACCTTAGGACCACCCCCATCCGACAGGACTTGAGGATTATAAGTCGGTGGATTTGGGTGAATAAGAGGGATCTAGCTGGAGGAGAGGAGGGAGGCAGACTGACCATTAGCAATTGCCAGCGCAGTCCACGAACCACCAAATCACGGTCAAACAGAATACTCTGTCATCCCCACGAAGGTCTCGACCTGGCTGTAGTAGTTAAGAAAGACCCGCGAGGGAAATACTTCCCCCTATAAACTTGAGCCAACAACGACTAGGGATCATTCAGAATTTGCCACCCAATCTTTGCCAACAAAGCTTGATTAAAGTGCTCAAAGCCGCGAAACCCCATGCCACCATCATGCTTACTAGTGCACATTTGACACCAAGACATCCATCGAATTTTAGAACGACCCCCTTCCACCCCCCACCAAAACCGTGCCACATGCCTATCCAAAAGTCGGCACAAAGAGCGAGGGAGCTTAAAACATGACATCACATGCAAAGGCAAAGCTAAGGCCACTGATTTGATCAATGTTTCCTTAGCTGCCCATGACAAGGTCCGTTGCTTCCACCCTTGAAGTCGACTAAGCAGTTTTTCCTCCAGAAAACGAAACGTGGCCATCTTAGAGCGAGCAATCAACGATGGTAACCCCAGATACTTATCATGCACCCCCACTGTTCCCACTCCCAAAATCTCTGCTAGGAATTCCTGATCAGGCCCCGAAACATTCTTGCTAAAGCACACCGCTGATTTTTCCATATTTCCCTCTGTCCACTAAGCTCCTCGTAATTGTGAAAACCTCTATTAGGTTCTCACACTCCTGCAAGGAACCTCTGAGGAATAAATAAGAGTTATCCGCAAAAAACATATGCGAAATTCGAGGCACCCTAGAAGCCACTTTTACCCTTTCCAACTTCCCACCGAGATGGTCTGGCGAAAAAGAGCCGCAAACTCCTCAGTGCAAAGCACAAACAACAGAAGGGACATCGGAGCACCCTGTCTCAGGCCCCGGGTAGGGGCAAAGAAACCCGAAGGTGTCCCTTTCATAAGCACCGAGAAAGAGGCTAACCGAAAGCACTCCATCACCCAGTCACACCAGACCGAGTTAATACCTAACTTTTTCAAAATCGCAAGTAGAAATGGCCACTCGACTTTGTCATAGGCTTTTTCCATGCCAACCTTTAGAGACATGTACCCTTTATTCCCTTGCATTTTGATTTTTAAGTAGTGCATTAACTCGTGGCCAAGTAAAATATTCTCCACAATTTGGCGTTCGCGGATAAACGCATTTTTGGCCCTCTGATATGATTTGGGGCAAAAACTGGGCCAGCCTTTCTGCCATGATTTTGGTAATGATTTTATACACAAACTGGTAGAGGCTAATAGGGCGAAGCTGCTTCATGTGTTCCACATTGTCTACTTTGGGTATTAGTGTAAGCCAAGTGTGATTGAAGCTACGAAGCATTTTGCTCGTGTTAAAAAAAGAACGAACCGCATCAATCACCGAGGTCCCCACTATCCCCCAAAAAGACTTCAAAAATTTCCCAGTAAACCCATCCAAACCTGGAGCTTGCTTAGAGCCCATCAAGAACACCGTTTTACGAATGTCGTGCGGAAGGACTTCCGCCGTAAGAACCGCGTTCATTTCCGCAGAAACCTTACTGTCAAGTGGAAGGGTATCAATCCTGGCTTCCATGTTCAGGACCTGGGTCTCTGAGGTAAAGAGGTGTTGATAAAAAAATTTTTGCAATATCAACCCTCCCTTTTTCCTCCGTAACCCACTCACCCTCCTCATTGTGAAGTCCTGCAACGAAGTTGGCCTCCTCAGCCTCCCATTGTTTGTTAAGCTCAGTCTCCAACACCCTAACCTCCTCCCAATTAATCGGACGGCAGAGCTTGACCCTATCAATTTCAGCCTGGAGGGTCTTAATATTTCTGAGCGAATTCGTAGTACCTGCTCTGCTCCAGTCATAAAGAAGGTGGCGAAGCTTCTTCAATTTCTCCCATAACTGGTATGTCGGGTTACCAGACACTTCCTCAGCCCAAACATAAGTCACCATTGCTTTGACCTCTGGGTTATCTGCCCAACGAGCATCAAAGCAAAAAAGAGGTCGACTATTCCTAACATAGGGCTTATCCGAGAGAATTATAACTCTATGATCAAAACCTTGATCCGTGAAATGCTTAAGAAGAGTATCAGGGAAACTTTCTAACCAGTTCTGAGAGAAAAGATCTCTATCCAACCATTCACGAATACAGGCCGCCCCCATTCTTTTATTAGTCCAAATAAATTGGTCACCTTGGTACACTGGATCCTGGAGACCTAAGTCATGAATAAAGTCCCCGAGAGGAATAGCAGGGGCAACAACCCAGAGGTTACCACCATCCTTTTCAGTCTTGTTAACAGTGGCATTAAAGTCTCCTAAGAACACAAAAGGTATATGGATCTCATCCCACACTTGGTGAAGAATGTGCAATTGACTAGAGCGAGTGGCTTCATGACAGCTCAAATAAACACAAACCGCCACATATGAAAAATTACTTTCATTAATCCGAACACAAATAGAAAAATCTGAATGAAAAAACACCGAAGCATCAACTTCGGGGGACCAAGCTGCAACTAAGCCACCAGAAGTATCGATGGCATCAACAAAAAAACAATGGTTCGAATTGAAACCTAACCCCCGCATCCTGCGGGTTACTACTCTCTGGCTCGATCTTGTTTCTGAAAAGAAGACAAGGTCCGGTTTATTGGAATTAACTAATCCTACAGCAGTTTGGAATGTGTGGGATGACCCAATTCCTCTCACATTCCAAGCAAGCAGCCTCATTGATCGGACGGGGGCCACTCTAGGTTGCCTTCCTCCACCTTTTCATCATTTGGCACTTCTTCCACAAATTCTTTGTTTGGATTCGGAGACTCCTCAATGGCTCCTTCCACCTCATCAATGGTTCTTTTGGTACCGCCATTACCAGTTTCAAGGAGGTTGGACCCATATTGATTCAGCTTCTAGATCATCCCCTTTTCAGATTGTGGGGCGATCCATAGTTTTCCCTGGTTCCATGTCCCATCTGCACCGTGGCTCCACTCCCCTTGCCTCCCGCATGGAGCACAATCCCAGCCTCAAAAGATGCCACTACCTGGCCCACTCGTCCCTGAGTAACCTGAGTGTTTGTGACCGGTCATCTCCCCCGGGTACGACTCCTAATCTCATAGCAAAGCTTCTCCTCTTCTGAAGAAGAGGTCATCGATCTTGCTTCCTTATAGTCACCATCCTTTGCCACCGATGAGGGAGAACGACGACCTTGATTAGGGGGAGAGCCAGCCAGCATCGGAACATCAACCAAGGTTTCCTCACCGATTACAGGTATTGCAACGTCCGCACGACGAGGACTTGTTCTTATCAATTGAGTACGTCCTCCCCGGGGCCGCCCTTTCGAACCAGTCTTCTTCGACGACATTTCGGCCTTCCTTAAACAACGTGGAGCAGCTTCGGACGACGCCTCTCATTCTCTGCCAGCTTGAGGCACGACCCGACCCCTAGGCTTTGGGTGAGCTTGCATAATTTTGTGACCAGGATTCTCCATCCCCCCATGTTGCACGGTTTGCATGGGGGGCTTCAAAAAAGGGAGATCATCTTCAGATTCCTCCTAAAGGATCATCCTTCTGCGAGGATTTATTCTTTGGGAAGGCTGGCCAGCTGCACCCAATTCTGACTCACTCTCTTCATCACCCAGCGACAGCTGTACTCCATGCAAGTTGCTTTTTGCTGGCCGCCGCTGCAACGACTCCCCTTTCCCGCGCATCTCTATCATGTAAATAGGCTGGGAGTGAGAGTCACTGGCAGTAGAGTCCTCGGCCTGCCGAGAAACTGACCCTTCTCTACCGCGACACCTCCCCCCAATCATCTCCGCCGGCCGTGGAGCTCTTTCCTTGTCGGGGCAAGGCTGTTCCCCAGTCATTGTTCGAGGAGTGGATTGGTTAACTCCTCGACCTACAGTGAAACGCGGTGATTTTCGCACATTGATCCGCGCCGGGGCCGGATCCAGCTGCTGCTTTTGGGGATGGCGCGATGTGGATTGGGCCTTTTATTTCCCAAACGGAGTCCCTCCTGTCTGTCGCCACTTCGGGATCTTCCTTCACCTTCCCGTTGTTCCCGAACCTCTCTATTAACCCATACTATTCTTGACCCACCCCAATATGCTGGAAGTTCGTCTTCTTCATCATAGAGACGGGTGCCCAATTTCTTTGTGGACATATGGGGTCCGAATATTTATTTTCGGGTGGGAGGGTCAAAAGAACAGTCACTCATCATGTGACCAACTCGGCCACACTTAAAACAGAACGAGGGCAAGTGCTCATATTTTAAATTGACCCAGAAGCAGCCTGTTTTGTCACTAGTCGCCATTATTTGGGATCTTAACAACTTCGAAAAATCAATTAAGGCCTTGATCTTGACGAAACACTGGTTTGTGTTCGTACAGGTATAAACACCTGATTCTAGGACATGGCCAATTGCGTTGTTAGCCATCTTCCTGCCAAACTGTTTTGTACAGCAGTCATCCGGCATCCCCCAAAGTTGAACACGGAAGGGAACGACACTAAGCTCATCGAAAATATTCTTCGAGGCATTAGGCACCCAAGCACGAACATGCAGTATTTTATCCTTTCTCATCCACGGAGTTCGTTTCAGCACCCAGTTCCTTGATGCCTCACTTGGCAACACAAATTCAAATAATCTGTGTTTTGCCATCATCACCTTGATCTTACCCTTACCCTGCCAAGGGAAGTTCAACGACTCCTTCAGCTCCAGGACCGACACATTGCTAGTTGTGAACACTCGTCCCACTAGCGCACAAGTGTTACGAAACTGCACTGGTTTAACCTCCCCCAGTGAGAACTGAACAACCTGATCTTCTTGTATGCGAGCCATGGGTGTCACCGACGAATCGGAAGGAGGTATTAGCGTACCAGGGAGCGGGATAAAATCCGCAGGCTCCTCCCCAGAATCACCTTCAGGACTACTGTTAGAGCAAGGAGGGGGAGAAGAGACACGAGGCCTCGAGGCGAACCCCAATATGCCAGTACAAGGGATAAAGGGAATCCGCAAACCTGGCATCGACGCAAGACTTGGGTGAAAGCGTCTATTCTCTGTCGTCGCCTGAAGTGAGCACTTCACTTTTAGTTATTGTGATAATGTTCTGTGCAGGGTTCAGGTTTAAATAAAAGAGTGAAGTATAGCGCCACCCAACCTCTTGCTTAGCCATTGTAACTAGGTTTCGGTAGTTACGTTTGCTTGGAGGTCTTTCACTTTGAGTGAAGCTCTTGTTGAAACAACGGATAGGGGAAATCCCACTAAATCTGGACCCGAGGATACATGGCGTGATTTTCAAATTCGCCTGTTCTCCCGAGTTTGCCGCCGACGTGCCACTGCAGACCAACTTCCCTTCCCCGCAGTAGTGGAATTTCCAGGGCACCACCAAAACTCGCCGGGATTTCCCCTGCGGCAGGCTCGTCCCACCTGTCAGGGTCACCAAGCTCTTTCGCCCATTAGAGACCCTCCGCTCAGGCATGGAGCCCTTGTCTTTACACCCATTCAAATTGGCATGAGTCGTCATTGGCTCCGTTTCTGCCTCCTCTTCGAGGAGAGTCGATGAAGGGAGCGAGAACCGCCACACCTCCATTCTAGATAGCTTGGAACGTTTGTTTTCCGTCAGTCCCGAAATCGCTATCGTTTGATTTTCAGGAAAGCAATCAAGCTTTCGTTTTTTGGTGATCCAAACCCTAGATCTTCTTTTTGGTATTCTGTTGTTTTGTATACCAGATATATTAGCACTATTTTGTGCTCCTGTATGGGGAACGGTCGAGCAACGCAGCCGCCCTTCTGGGTGAATAACTGACCCTTCTTCCTGATTAGGATTAAGCTCCGAACTGCATCCAGCCTTACCTTGATTGCGCAGGCTAGCGTCCGCCACCACTAGGAATACCGAGATCAAAATCCGGCCGGCTAGGTGGCCGAACTCTAGGATAGAGGAGAGAGCTTTTTGAAGCATGTTCAGTACACTTAGAGTTTGATCCGGTTTAAATATTTCTTTTGTTTCCGATACCCTTCCTCCAAAGTGAAAACATAGGCAAGGATTACAAATAATAATTAATTAATTAAACTCACATTTTTTACACCTACATGGAAATAAGTAGAGGCCCATTAGATTATTAAAAAAAGTAGTCCCATTGCACAGTCATCTGTGAAAATAATTAGCCTATCTAAATTATTGTAAAAGATCAAAGGGAATTATGTGGGTTTTGGAATGGAATCTTCATATATGTATTGTTAGATTCGTTAATTAATGCTCATGAGTTGTGTACTATTTCATTTGGACTCGAATACTTTAAACTGGAGCCAGCGCTCAGAGGAACGCGACGGCGCCGCCGCCGGAAGACCGATCCGGCTTTGGGCCGTGGATGCAGGTCACGCGGCGATCGCGGAGGGGGACACGCGCGGTGGAAAAAGGAAACGCTAGTGAGATCCCCGGAGAATCAGGACGTAACGGCAAGGAAGGGAAAGGAAAGGATTTGCAGAAAAACAAGGAAAGCCTCGTAGAACAAAAAAGGAAAGAAACCAGAGGAAGGAGACGGGCAAGAATGGGGCGAAGGAAAAGGGGAAGACAGCTGGAACGAATAATCGCAACGGGAAAGAGAAAGGAGAAAAAGAAGTGGCTGGATCGGCTACAGGGGGTAAAGGGATCCTTGGGCCCATCCCGCCTTCTAGAGTAAGCCCAAGCAAAGGATTAACTCTTGGCAAGCTATCTGAGGCCGGCCCGTCTTTCGTTGGAAGTGGGCCTGCTGGGACCAAACACGAAGCAAAAAAAGGGTCGGCCCCCTCTGTTGCGACCAAAGCCCAGAAGACGGCAGGCCCAGTGGTTACCTCTATCCAGATTGTGGAGGTCCCAACTATCGATCAGCAGAAGAAAATCGAAGCGGCCAGCAATGCTCCGTCGGTGGCTACGCGAACGAAAGGCGACCGGAGGAGGAGGAAATCCAAAGAAGGCCAATCACCAATGAAGGTCGCGGCCAAAGCTCTCCAAATTTGGACTCCTGTCAAGGAGAGAAAATCAAAAGCAAGGGTTCGAATGGCGAACCTGACTCTTCAAGAGATAGAGGCGTGGACGGGAGCGGCGAAGGAGGGACAGGCGGATAGTTCAACCTTGTTCCCATCCGAGGAGATTGTCCAAAGGGAGACGCTTGCGGCGGAGGTTTCCACAACCGCGGATGGATCCCTCGCGAATAACCGCTGACTTTCTTCCCTTTTCCCTTCCTCTCTGTTTTCTGTTTTTGTTTCCCTTTCTTTTAATTTCAATTATGTCCATGGTTGCTGACTTTAATTTCAAAATTTGCTCGTGGAATGTGGGAGGTGCCAGTGGTAGCGCCTTCCTGAGAGCTCTGAAGCTCCTTGTTGCCACCCATAAACCTGATATTTTGATTTTGTTGGAACCGCAGATCAGTGGAGATGTGGCGGATCGGGTCTGTGGAAGAATGGGATTTCCTAACGTTATGAGAGTAGAGGCGGAGGGAAGGAGTGGGGGCATCTGGCTGTGCTGGGACGCGAATATCGTGAGGGTGGAGCTTGTCTCTGCCTGCTTTCAGCATGTCATGGTGAAAATCCAATGTGCTTCGGCATCTCCTTGGCTTCTAACGGCGGTTTATGCGAGTCCGAGGCAGGAGTCTCAACGCTTCTTGTGGCAAGCTATACACCGCATTGGGGAAGAGCATGACTATCCGTGGCTGCTTACTGGAGATTTTAACGCCATTCGTTCTCCCCTGGAGCAAGCAGGCAGAACTTCCACTGCCATTCTCCGCCGCTGCAAACGTTTTAATGAAAAAATGGATCAAGCGGAGCTCATCGACCTCGGCTACTCTGGGCCACGCTTCACATGGACTAGAGGAGAACCGCCGAATGATTACAAAGCTAGTCGGCTTGACAGAAGTCTGTGTAACACCGCTTGGAACGTCACTTTCCCCAACACCTCCGTGCATCATCTGCCACGTCTGCACTCGGATCACCATCCCATTCTGACTGAGATCGGGAAACAGGGAGTTAATCTTTCCTCCCCTCGTCCTTTCCGCTTCGAAGGAGCATGGCTAACGCATGATTCTTATGGTAATTTTTTACAGGATAAGTGGGATTCGCAGGTGCCGCTTCAGGAAGCCTTGAGGAAGATGGCGGAGGACCTTGCTGAGTGGAACAAAAACACTTTTGGCAATGTCTTACAAAAGAAGAGGAGGCTCCTTAGACGGATTAATGGGATCCAGACCAGAATAGCAAACGGGTTCTCTCCTGGTCTTTTCAAACTCCAAGCAAACTTGAGAGAGAGCTGGATGAAGTCCTAGAGAGGGAGGAGATCTTCTGGTACCAAATAGCAAGAGAGAAATGGGTGCAATTCGGGGAGCGCAACACTGCGTATTTTCACCAGCAAGCTCTTATCCGGAGACGAAGGAACAAAATGAAATAGTACACAACTCATGAGCATCAAGGAGACATCTGCTACAGGAATCCCCTGGGATGCCTTTTTTGGGATCGCCCTTTGGTGCTTGTGGAAGAAGAGGAATGAAGGTGTCTTCAAAGGTGTGAGTAAGACCCTCTCTGCACCCTCTCTTACGCAGTCTATCCAGATTAAAGCAGATATTTGGACTCGGGCTTGGAATGCCCCGACGCCGCTCGGTAGGAAAGGAAACCCAGCGTCGAATCGGGTAATGACTGACATCGGCTGGCAGCCGCCACCGGCAGGTTGGATTAAAGTCAATGTAGATGGGGCAGCAGGAGGGTCTCAGGGCCTGGCCGGAGCTGGAGGAGTAATTCGAGACTCTAACAGCTGCTGGCTAGGTGGTTTTGTCACTAGCTTGGGAGCTTGTTCGGCTACACTGGCTGAACTCTGGGCTATCTATCATGGATTGAGGCTAGTTTGGAACAAAGGCTATAGGACCATTGTTATTGAGTCAGACTCTCAGTTGGCTATTCAGTTGGTGAAGAACAGGACAGATCCGCTGCACCCCTTTGCTGCTCTTCTTTCGGCCATAAGGAGGAAGATCTCTCTTGACTGGGTGGTGAACCTAATTCATACTTACCGCGAGGGGAATAGAGTCGCGGACTGGCTCTCGAAGCACAGTCTCGTCTATCCCTACGGCATGTATGAATTGGATGATCCGCCGCCAGAGACCCTTCACATCTTACAGGATGATCAACGAGGATTCACCATTCCTAGAAGCATTGTGACCCCTTCTTCTACCTCTCCCATCTGATCGCCGCCCCCTGTTTTTCTTTTCTTTGGCCTTGTGCCTCCTGTAAGCCAAAAAAAACTGGAGCCATATGCAACACCGCCACCACTTTCGGGTATCAATGTTATGGATACCCGAAACGAGGTCACTGCCAAGGAAAATGCAATTTGGAGGGGAAAGTATTAAGGAACTCAAGATACCCAGCGAAACACTCTAGTGAAATCTGATTCATCAACTCAACGCCTCCAGCCCAACTAAGGATGGCAATGGGTCGGATTGGATCGGATTTTGCTAAACCCAAACTCATGGGTTTATCTGTCAAAAAAATTTGGGATAAAACCCAATGGGTTTGGAAAACTAAAACCCAACCCAACCCTCTAGGTATCCGAGGGTTCATGGTTACACATGGGTTTTTATGGTAAAAAATTTACAATAACAAGTTCGTATCAAAATAAAAGTCAAACACCAATTTCTCCATACAAATTATCCATACATAAAACACCAGTATAGAAAATTCAAACAAATCAAAAATTATCCATACAAATTGTAAATTAGATTGGGAAAAATTAGAGTTAGGGTAGGGTTTAAAGAGAGTAGGCGACGAAATAAGTGTGAGCGGGTATTCATGGGTCGGGTATCCCTCAACTCAAACCCAACCCGGTAAAAGTGTAACAGGTTTAAATCCGAACCCGGCCCAAAACCCGTCAACACGGGTTTTACTCGCATTGTCTGGGTTGGGTCGGGTCGGATACCCATGGGTTCGAGTTTTGTTGTCACCCCTAACCCCAATCACACCAACTTGCCAGGTCGATTGGTAGCTTGTAAGCACGTGTACTAGGGCTGGGAATCTTGACTAAATCTTATGACAAAACGTAGTTTAGACCATATCGTACGGTTTGGTTCGGCTGTAATACCATGAATACAATTTGGTCTGGTACATGATCTGCCTATTTAACTTGCGGTTTGGGACAGTTTGGTCTGGTATAGAACGTGGTTAACCATCCAGACCATTATTATTCCCCAAGGCCCAAACCCAAATACCAAATGAGGCCACAACCCATAAGCCCATAAGTCCCCACCCAGCCTCGCAATTCACCCTCCCCACCCTCGAACTTAACGTCTCACCCATTAAGAGTGCCTATTCCTTTTGCTCTTATGCTAGTCAACGGCTTCACAAAAGACATCCAACAAATAACAATAATAATCTTACAAAGGGACAAAACATTTAATGTTACAAGTGGAAGGATCTCCAATTCACATGGTGGGAGGATGTTGCACAAGTCCATAACCATTGGTAATGTGCTATACGATTTATACCTTACATGTACAAATGGGTTGAATAGCAGTAGCTAGTTAAATAGCGCTAGTCATCAACAAAATTGTCATAATGAATGGCAACATCAGACCATAAAAGATTCTTATAATTCTGAATGGCATCGAAACCATATCACAACTTCGGTCATAGAACGCATTTTGACCATGTTCAGCAGCAAGCTAGTAATTCAATATAATTTTAGGGTATTAATTCAGTTATCAAACATAGTAATTCAATCTATTTTTTTTTTTTTGAAAATGTTGCCATGTGCGGGATTATTGTGGCAGTTATATTGGAAATGAAGAAATTGTGAAGTGCTCTTACTTCACATATATTTGTTGGTTTTTTTTTTAATATGGTATGTGGTCTGGATCGTATCAGACCGCAATCGTACATGCGTGGTCTGGTCTGAACCGTACTGTACATGGTATGATCTATAGTATGTGTCTTAGTCTCTCGTCTGGACCATAGACCGTATATATGGTCTGATTTGGTCCGGTCTAATATGTTGTTGAAACAATGGTTTCAACATGACGATATGTGTTCGTTTTAGGCTCGAACAAGCTGGAAACTGAGTTCCTTTTTCTCAATACAATTCTCTACCTCTCTTTATTGATTTCATATCCTTTTATAGCTAGGGTGACAATTCCTAATCCTAAGATTGGGATCACATCAATTGATTTCCCGTATCTTTTACTGATACTTAAAATATACTTAAAGTGATCTCGTTTATCACCTAATCCTAACCGACACGGCTAATCCTGCATAACAAATAGCAAATCAATATGAAATCAATAAAATCACAAAACAACTATGGGAGAGGCAGATTGTTCCGGACTTGGAGTTACTTTATAGTCACGTTTGTAGATTTTCATACATGGCTTTCATGTGGGATGTGGGCTTCCACATCTGCCATTGGCCCATCGTATGCATGGGTTCCCTGGTGATAATGGACCGCCACATGGACTATACGGGTATCGGCCGTTTCACATGAATGGACCCTTTTTCTCATGTCCTTACCCGGATGAACTATGAGTTCATCATTCCCCCCGCCTTCAAGAATGAACTTGTTCCTCAAGATCATTATCAACGGAGTGAGTGAATAATTCAGATGCTAACTCCCAGGTAGCATCTTACTCATGCAAGGTATAGAAATTCACCTTAGATTCCTCCGCAAAGCGCTTGCCTTGGCGAGACCAACAAGTGTTTAGGATAAGCTTTTTGGCTAAGTGCGAGGGTCCCATCATCAGCAATTGGAGGAACTACTACCTCACAGAAGTGGTAAGCCAGCTTTTGAAATGCTCGGCGACCAACATAATGTTGTCGGTGAGGGAGGTGAACAAACACATAATATCCTATGACAAATTCAACATCATGGCGACGAGCATCGACATGTAGTTGCATGCGAGCTTGGTCCTTCTGGAGGCTAAGTTTCAGCTTATGAATTCTTTCATTCTTTTCATGGACCACTTGGTCTCCCTTTTCCTTCGCATCGTCATCATTAACTTCCTTCTCCATAACACAATTCTTTCCACCCACGAACTCACCTAAGCGGCGCACCAACCCTCCACTTTTGTGCACCTTGAATTTTCTTCTGACTTCAAAAGTCAACGAATCATTTATGTCCTTATCACCAAGCTGCGGAAACTTTGGCAACTTCTTCCTTTCTCTTTTGCTTAGTGAGCGATGTTGCAGATTTGAGGTGACTGGTCGCTTCGATGTTGCACTGATGGTCGTCAAGGTTGGGACGACGAAAGAAAGAAGCACCTTGTCCGGCTCAATCTCTTTAGTTGATCGGCCACCAGACACGAACAGAGCAGCAGCGACGCTGGCTGGTGATGTTGCTGTGGCAACGACCGCTTCCTGTCCATCTCTTTGGCCGTTTATTATCGCTCCGCGCTTCCCTCAATGGTTGCATCACAGCTTGTCGCCATCCCCTCACCTCTTGGTGCTATTCCATAGCCTGAAAGCACTCTGCATACGGCGTTAGACGTGTTATGGCCAGGTAGAACTAGTTTACGGCTCACCGCATCGAGATTGGCACACTTCTCCTATTCTCCTTGGTGCACTGCAAGACTTCTCAAAGCCAAACCCATAACTAAAACATATGTTCTTCCTTGATGTATCTCTTCTGAAGTCCTGATTATGGACTAGAGCTCAGACCGGCCTTCCCCCGATGGCGAAGACGTTGGAGTCTTCAGTAGTGGACTTATGATTCGGGCCTAATTGTACATATTTTGCCTCCGATTTGCTTAGACATTTGTGCCAAATTCGCTCATTAGAGGTTAGTTTTAAGCGAGTTTCTTTGTGTTTGAGTGCTTTTCAAGATTTAACAGGTGGAACCAGCCTTGGAGTCGAAGGATTGGCGAAAAGGATCAAAAACCGGGAGAAGAGGTGAAAAAACGCAAGTTCACGATTAAAGATAGGAGTTCACGGTCGTGCTAGACCATGAAGAAGGGGAGTTGACCGTGAAGCGCAAGGCGTCCAGAGCCAAGTTGAAGGTTACTAACGCAAGGCGAGTTCACGGTCACTAAGACCGTGAACACAAGCAGTTGCCCGTGAACTGGCGTGATCGATGCGGAGCGTTTTGGCGCAAGGCGTGAGTTCACGGACGTGTTTGATGGTTCACGGCCATGAACTCAGGCCGTAAACTCAGCTCTTCTCGGGTTTAAAAGATGAGTTGCAAGGAAAAGAGAGGTGGATCCACTTTTGTGAGAGAAACAGAACCAAGAAGAGAAGAAGAGGTTATGGCTTGGCTTCAAAGGAGGTTTTGGGAAGATTTCCCCAAGGAAATCCCAACTCAAGGTTGAAGAAGAGAGGAGGCATCCCCAAAAGATGGTTTCCACCTTTTTCTCCTTTGTTCTTCCCACTTCTTCCATGGAGTAGTCCTCCTCCCACTTGGGGTGTAGTGAAACCCTAAACCGTACCATGTAGTTTTCTTGTATGTGGTTTGGATGATTGATATTGGGCATTGTTCAATTTAATGTTTGAGGTATTTTTCACCATGATTTTGCATGCTTGTGCTTAGTAACTTAGGGGTTGTGCATATTTTGTGCTTAGCATCCTAGGGATTGTGCATAATTGTGCTTAGCACCCCTAAGTTTGTGCATTTAGGTGCTAGTAATCTAATTTGCCAACTTAACCTAGTTTAGAGAGGAAAATCACCCTTTTTAAGGGAGACTCAATCGAGTTGGGTTTCCTTCATCTTTCCAAGCCACCTAAACTAGGTTGAGTTAGAGCAATCCTCAATAAGGATGAGCATGGGTCGGGTGGGTCAGTTTTGAACTACTTTGACCACCCAACCCACACATGCTGGTTTCAATAAATCTATACCCACACACACCTGAAACATTTGAGACCCTGTCGGTTTGATGTCTACTGGGTCGGGTTATTTGGATAATCAATCCGTCTAAAATCCGAACCGCAATAACTCATCGGAAATAGCAGATTTTCCAGAAAGAAATGCGACAATTTGGGCATAGCGATGGTAGATCTGAAGTTCCTAACGAGATTCCTACCTGAAAGGAGAAGAAACTTTAAGAAAAAGGCCGACGACGTGGAGGCTAATGGCCACTCAAGCCTCTATCAAGTGGTTTAGCCATCATATATATGAGAATCCTATAATTACAAACCAAGTAGTAAATATCATAGGCTTGAAATCCAAAGCAAAAAGAACCAAACCTTCTGCTCTTAAAGCAAAAGGAGAAGAACCCAAAAAACAAAGTTGCAAAAGAACCTCTGCCTCTAGATCTCCTAAAGCAAAATAAGCCCAAAAAGTATACAAAGAATTCATTTAGTGGTGTTTCACAGGATAGGGGATGGGAGGTAGTTAATTGGCGGCAATCTAAAAAGATGGATGCGATGGAAAATTCAAGAACCATCGACAATAGAAGGGTGTGAATATGTTGTCGGTGCAACAACTTTGTTCACAAGATGGCCTAGTGGATAAAGAAGAGGAATCGGCTGAACTCTCGTAGCTTGAGGGTCGAAGCCACTCAATCGGTGAACGATCGATAAAAATGGCTTGCGGATGGAGGGAATGAATCGCCGGCAAATGATAAAGATGGAGATGGAAAACCCTAGAGATTCTACAACCTTTTTTATATATACATAATCCCTGGAAATGTCATTTTGCCATTTCTTGGGTTGGGTGGGTTGTGCTCGGGTTTTAAACACCCAATCCAAAACCAACCCGACATTTGTTGGATTTTCTATTCTATAACCCTCACCCACCCATATATTTTAGTTTCGGGTGGTTTGCTCTGGTGGGTTGGGTTTCAGGTGCTTTTGTTCACCCCTAATCCTCAATATTGAATTGAACAAGTCGATTAATCGTGGTTAAACTGTCCGACCTTAGAATTGAGTGAGGAAGTAAGCCGATTACCTATTGTCTAAACCGAGAGGGTCGAGTGACACGACATTTCATCCTCACCTCGGTTTAGAAATTGAGACTGTGGTCTCCGAATACATACACTTTCTGCTAAGCCGTTAATTGCACATGTTTTTACCCCTATTCTGGAGCCGTTTGAGATGGTAATTTTCGTGTTTTAGGCCGATTTCGCGCTAGGTTGTGTTTGTTTGTGATATTTCAGGTCCTAGCAAGTGAATGAAGGTTTAGGAGCGAGTTCGGGGTCGATTGGACAAAGATCGGGCGCGAGGGAAGTCAAAAAGGAAGCCACACGGGCACACCCACAACTCACACGGCCGTGAAAGTGACCACTTTGGCCGTGTGAGATTGTGCGAGCCTTCACACGGCCAGCCCTGATTGTCACACGGCCGTGTGAAGTTGCACTTTGGCCGTGTGAGATTTTGCGAGGCTTCACACGGCCAGGCTGGGTAAGCTACACGGCCGTGTGACCCTGGCCGTGTGGGAAGCCTGAAGTGCGATTAATCGGAACGCGGCGTTTTGACCTCACACGGGCAACTGGGTATGCCACACGGCCGTGTGGCCCTGCCCGTGTGAGTCGGGAATTTCTGGTTTTTACCCAATTTCGGGCTGAAAGTGGGAGAATCGAGTTTTGAGAGCAAAAACAGAGCCCTGGAGAGAGAAAGTACGAAGAACACATCCTAGAAGCTATCTTGGAGCTGGGTTTCATCAAATCAAGCTTGGAGATCGTCATAGGAGTGGAAATCATCATCCCAGAGCAGATTTTCCTCATCTTTATGAGTATGACTACTCTGTATTTTGTTTTCCTCTCTCTCTATGGAGTAGAAACCTTCTCTCACTTGGGTATGAAGAACCCTAGTTCTATGTGTTAGGGATTTGATTGTAATGACTTGGGATGATATTACTGCTTGGTTTTAATCAAATGATGCATGTTTATTGAGTCAATTGAAGTCTGATCAGCTTTTCCTGATTTCTGCTGCAACCTGAGATAGATAGAATCTGATTAGGTTGTTAGAGCCTCATCATTCGGTAGTAGGAGATTGGCTATACGAGAGTTAGCCAGTTTACTGCTTTGTACTGGAATTCAATTCCAGTAGTGGAGTTCTGTTCTTACTGCTTCAGCTTTCTATCCCGGTGAAGACTAGTCGTCTGCCGGGTAGTTAGTCTGAGAGGGCTTGGTCAGCTTAAGAGATTCCAAGCTATTGTCGGATCTTCCGCAGTCTAATCAACAGTAAATCAACCCAGGGAAATTGCATTTGAAACCTAACTAAGGAGCTAGGGGGACTCATTCCCGAGTGACTCTTCTTTGCTTGAGAAAATCGTACCGATTCCTGCTTTCTTTCTGCTTTTGCTTTAACCAACTAACACTTAACTTAGTTGGCTAGATAATAGATAATCACTGAGTAAGCAGTAGATCTAGACCCCGGGTTGATAATATAACTTGCCACTTTACTGCAGTCCCAGTCTGCGATTACACTTGGTCGCAGATTGGTGTTGTGTTTTGGCGTGTCACTTTCCTCTTCGGTTCACGATTAACGTGCCCAAGGCATTCGTTACAACCCACGTAGTATGGTAGCGGTTAAGGGGGAAGTGAATCCCAAGTGAGTTTCCCACAAAAGATTTTTCAAACCAAATTACTTTTGCTTTCTTTCATTTCAATTGGCAAACCTTTAAACCAAAGTTTTATCGCTAGATAATGATTTCAACAACCGAAGTAGGGGTAGACGGACCGACCAGGGTCGATATATAGATACTTGCCTTATACTACACCCTATTAGAGCTTAAAAACTTGGGCTCTAATTGGGGTTTCATTTTAATGTAGTTTCGAGCGAGTCAAGTATCCACAATTAAAATGAAAAGGTCGCTTAGTGTTAGTCTAGCATTTTCTATCTTGCCTTTTTTGTTTATGTTTTACGTTTCGTGTGTGTTATGTTTACCCACTCTTCTCGTAGAAAGGTTGTTTGATTTTGTTTTTGTGTTTTTGTTTAAGTAGGTTGAATCATGGATCCCAATGGCTTCTACAACATGTGGGGGTATCCACAACCACCCAAATGGGGGTACCTCGGAGCTTCATGGAGTAACCAAGAAAGTGGAAGCCAAGGAACCGGGTTCTATGATCAACCTCCCTTCCAAGAAGAACAAGCATACCATTGGGGATTTCAAGAAGCTCCCCCATATGAAGAAAACCTCCCTCCTCAAGTTGAGGAGAAATCCAAGTTGGAGTTAGCCATGGAGGCTTTCATGGCACAACCCTCAAAGAGCAAATTAGAGTTCATGGTGGAGCGGTTTTCTCGAGGCACGGATGAAGAGTGCTCGAACATGGATCTCCCACAACCAGAAGTGAAGTCCAAGTTGGAGCTTGCCGCGGAGAATGTTACAAGAACAAGCTCCAACACGGATTTCCAACCCCTCCCTCCTCCCGGTTTGACACTTTTGGAGAAGGTGGAACGGGCTTGTGCAAGCTATCACCTCTCATTATTGGAGGAGAACGAGGAGGTTGAAAGGGCGAGCAATGACAACCATGTGGAGCAAGACGAACTCACCCCAGAGAACTCCCGTGGTGAGGATGAACAAGAAGGTTGCATTGACGATCCTCATCATCTTCCCCTTCCCGAGAGCAACCTTGAAGACCAAGACACGAGTGTGGAGGAGCAAGAGAATCCCTTCTATGAGCTTGCATGGCGTCTTGCCCTCCAAAGCGTGCTTGAAGACATGAATGTGAAGAAGAGGTTGAAGGGGAGGAAGAAAGTATTGAAGAGGGGGAAGATCTCGAGTGTTCCCAAGGGGAGGAAATTAAAGAAGAAGGAAGGGAGGTTGAGGAAGAAGAAGAAGGAGCACGCGGTGTCCGAGCAATGGACGAGGTCGAGGTGGATGAATCATCCACAAGTTACATGTGCTATGAAAGCTTTCCACCAGACCTCGATGCGCTTTTGGAGAAGGACCCGTTTGCGGCTCTTTGCCAAGCCAAGTCTAAGCCATCAGCGATCCCCCTTGGTGGATGCGATGGAAGTCAAGCGAGCTTTCACTACATGGTGTGGGGCAAAGAGAAGAAAGAAGAAGAGGTCTCATGGGTGGAGCCTCAAAGCCACTCAAGGTCACGAGCCCTCAATCATGGACTCGTCCAAAGCTCGTGACTTGAGACACCACCTCACCGATGAGAGCCTCAACTTCAAGGAGGTTCTTGGGTGGACCGAAACTTGAAGAGAAATCGTCCGGCTCACGATGTTAAAGAAGCGCTTGGTGGGAGGCAACCCATCTACCATCGGTTTGTTTGCTTTCCACTCCAATAAGAAGACCATTGAAGAGATTTTGGTGGTGTTTTGGACGTGACCACTCTCTTCCGGATCTCACCCACCCTCCGTTCCTAAGCACCAACATTCACAGCTTGACTGGTAACATCGTTCTATCCCCTTATTTTACGCCATTGAGGGCAATGTCGAGCTTAAGTGTGGGGGTAGTCTATTATGCATGTGTGTGTGTGTGTGTGTGTGTGTGTGTGTGAATGTTTGGTGTGATTTTGAATGCTTGGAGCCTAGTTGTATGCCCAAATTTTCAAAATTTGAGGGCTCCAAGCATAACAACTTCTACATTTGCATGATCATAGTGGCATCTTGTGGTGATTTGTTTTGAATCTCGTGTTTATTATCATGGTCTATGGATGATTTTCTTGTGATTGTGTGCAACCTATGATGATGACTGAGACATGTATTAGGTTTGTGCATAGGTTCATTTCTCATACGTTTGTGAACCGATAGATGTTTTGAATCGGTTACTTGCTTTTCACAGTTGCTTATGCATCGAGTTTAGGGAGTTAGAACGAATGATTGAGCACCTAGGTAGCCATGTGAGACTAATGTCATTCATTTCGTTCTTGTGCGATAGTTCCCCTTTGACATGATGTGTAGCATTCACGTTGTTGCTAGCGAGGAAGATGGAAGGCATAGGTTTAGTCCACGACCCAAATGCCGATCTCATTATCCCCTAGTCAACCCTTTTGAGTCGTGTGTCTAAGGGTCACTCTCATTTTAGGTAGCTCTCGCTATTTGAGCTTGATTGATTTAGATAGAACGACCCTACTTTTTTCATGTCTGCACCGTTATCGAGTCACCCTTGTGTTTGGAAGCTCCATTCATAGCATTTGAGCTTAAATGAAGTTCCGCATGAGTGATTTGTGTACGGTTTTGCTAAGAGGTGAAGTGAGTGTGGGGGTAGTTTTTCGAAGTGAGCATTGTTCCTTAAGTTAAAAAATGTGGCATGTTTATAGCTCTCTTTAGCCCCCAAAGAAAAGATAAGGAAAAAAAGAGAAAAAAAGAGATCAATAAGAGGGCAAAGAAGAAAAAAGAGTGGCCACCAAAAATATAATAAATGTTGAACATACTCTTAGAAGTGTTGCTTAACATGCAAGTTTTAGGAAAACTTACATGTTGTTTGCCTACCACACTCTTGTGCTTAAAATTGAAAAGCAAAGGTAGCAAGAAATATTGTTGCGAATGGTTTGGTGATTGGTTGTGGTTTGGAATAGAGGGAAGCGTGGTTTTTGTTCGTTGCTAGTGGCCATTGACTATGGTAGAAGGTTCTATTCGAAACCATAGAACCTTGTGTCTTAGGTTGAAGATGTGGAACCTCGTGTTTTGTTTGTCACCACCCAAAAAGCCTTTTCCCATGTCCTAGACCCTAGCCAGTCATTTGAACCTGTGTCTAAGACCTCCGGACAAGCTAGCAACGACACCCATCTTGTGAACTCTAATATTTAGAGGCTATCTTCATGATAAAGGGACGTTAGGATTGAGCGTGAATATGCACATCTTTTGCATCAAATGGTCCTGACCCCACCGGTCGAGAGTGAGTGATTCATTCATCATGTTTTGTTCATTTCTTATACCTCGGTGAGGACCTAGGTTGCTCGATCGTTCGTTCCTATGATGTGATCTTCATGCATGAGTAACTGTGATTGGTGAGTTGTCAAGGAATGTTGTGTGTGGGTTCGTGAATAATGTGACAACTCTTCTTTTTCGTAATCTTAATACAGTTGAATGTCGTTTGTGGTGGTTGCCAAGATTACTTTGTTTTTGTCCATAGGTCGGTGTCAAATAACCATTGTGATTCATTGGTTTTGTGCCCTATGACATGCCCCAAAAATTGTCTTGAAAAAGAAGTTGTAAGTTTACTTTGTTTTGTACTTGGTTTGCTTGGGGACAAGCAAACGTCTAAGCGTGGGGGCGTGATTCGGGCTCAAATGTACACATTTTACCCCTCATTTCTTATTCGTTTAGCTTAGCATTTCATCGTTCCTCGACATATTTCACGCTAGGTTGTGCTTGTTTTGATACATTTCAGGTCCTAGCATGTGTGGAAGGGTCGAGGTCGAATTTTGGGATATTTGGAGGTCAAAAAGCGCAAAAACCGAAGAAAAGTCTGAAGTCACTACCGTGACAATTTCCCCATGCAGTGAAGTGAAGGCGTCCCAGGAAACAGCCGCGGTTCACGGCAGGACAAGGCAGTTCACGGTCTCTAAGACCGTGAACTGGGGCCATTGATCGTGAACCCAGGCGCGTTTTGGACGACGCGTTTAGGAGTTCACGTGCGTGAACTGGCCAACGCGTCCGTGAACTGGTCACTTTCGGGCAAATATGAAGACAACAGCGGGGAGAGAGAAAGGAGAGCTGGTTTTTTTAGAAGAAACACTTTATTTCTCTAGGGTTTCAACCTAAACACCAAAGGGGAGTTCTAGTGAGAGAGAGAGAGAGAGAGAGAGAGAGAGAGAGTGATCTTGGAGCATCATTGGAGGCTTGGGTGGAAGATTCAAGCCTAGAAGAAGAAGATCTTGAGCTCAAATTTGTAATCCCTCTATCTCTCTCTAGAAACTCACTCTTTTCTCTTGTGTGTTGTAGATCCCTAACTAATACTTTGTAATTACTTGTTTAGATTGAATGATTAAGTGTAGGTTTGCATTAATTTGAGTATTAGAGGTGTTTTCATGGTGATTGTGCATGTTCGTGCTTAGCAATCTAAGGGTTGTGCATAATTGTGCTTAGCACCCTTAGGTTTGTGCATGTTGGTGCTAGCAATCTAATTAGCCACCTTAGCCTAGCTTAGAGAGGAAAATCTCCCTTCCAAGGGAGACTCAATCGAGTTGATTTTCCTTCTGCTTTATAAGCCACCTAAACTTGGTTAAGTTGGGACAACCCTCAATATTGAGTTAAGCAAGTTGGTTAAACGTGATTAAGCTGTCCAACCTTGAGTTGAGTGACGGAATAAGTCAACTACCGATTTTTTAAACCGATAGGGTCGAGTGACATGGCCTTTCATGCTTACCTCGGTTTAGCAATTGAGATTGTGGTCTCCGACCACATATGCATCCCTCTGCGGTACGCGGTTACCAGTTGCATCTAGGTTGGTTGTGATTAAGCCGCTCAAACTCCGGTTTGAGGGAGAGACCTAGGCAACCACTAGAGACCGAGTGAGAGGATCCATTCCGTGACAAATGGATCACTAGTTGCTCCTCATAGAGGTTCCCTTAGACTTGGTGAGTGGATCGATCCCGTGAAAAATCGATCGCTAGTGAATTGATGTCGTGACAGATTGATCACTAGTTGCTCACCCCCGCTGTTCACAACCACCTAAGCCACACGACTCTTTTCAATCCAACGAGTCATAGTAGCTAGTTAGGGGGAAGCAACTCCCGGGTGAAGCTCCCTTAGTTAGACTTTTCCTTTATTTACTTTTCTTTGCTTGGTTAGTTTGTAGTTCCAATAAACCTAAACCCAAAAGTCATTTGCTAGGTAACAACCTAAGCGATTGAAGTAGGGGTACATGGATCGGCCCGGTTTGACAATTTAAATACTTTCTCTATACTGCACTCGACTAGAGTTTAAAAACTTGGGCTCTAGTCGGGATTGATTTGTGGTTTAGTTTCGTGCGAGTCAACTCACCCGAAAGCCTCTGGCCGCAGTTGTTGGTATCATCTCCTCCTCAACTGGGTTGGGGTCGGTTTGTCTCTTTTCACCAGTAACTCCTCCAAAACGGTGATGGTTAGTAGCCATAGGGGAGCTCCCACTGAAAGACTTCTTTCTCTTGAAATTGAGAGAGATTCGATGCAGCAGTGGCTGCTTGTCATTTCTTCCGCCTCTTTCTACAATAGAGAACCTTCCTCATGCGGCGAATGATTGCAGAAGCTTTTATTATCGAGGATGTTGCATAGTCGTTGGTTACAGCAGAGCCTTCTTTTAGGGATGTGTTGGATGTAACTCGGCGAAGAGTGACGTGGAATTCTGGGTAAATCCGTCCGCATGCAGGCAATGTCGGGCGATATGCAACGACAATCCAATCTCTCTTTGACTTCAAATTATATACCCAGCGAGACCCTTCGCTAGTCTTCAGATATCGGGTAAGGCTCCCTCTTGGATACTCGATTCAGCCTGTTTTAATCACATGACTGATAATGCTACGAATCTTAAACATGTCTGCCCTATTGATGATGTTTCTGTGCAAGTTGCAAATGGTGATAAATTGCATGTTACTGGTATTGGATCAATTCATAGTTCGGACATTGTTTTGCCCTCAACTTATCATGTGCCTCGTCTTGTTCCGAGTTTGGTCTCTGTTGGTCAGCTTACTGACCAAGGCTATCGTGTTACGTTTGCACCTTCTGGCTGTGTTGTCCAAGATCAGAAGACAGGGAGGGAGATCGGTCGGGGTAGCAAGAAGGTCGAATTTTTTATCTTGAGCAGCTGCGTCCATCATCATCCTCAGGGTCCTTGGCTATTGAGTCTTCTAGTTCCTCGTTTCCTGTTTTCTCGAGTCTCTCTGATCAAAAGTTTCAATTGTGGCATGCTCGGTTAGGTCACCCACATTCAAGTCGTCTTATGACTATGTTCAAACAACAGTTATTTGGAAACACTGCTTCAGTTCCTTCTTCTTCGGATTTTGCTTGTACTAGTTGCATTGAGGCAAAGACCACCCGTATTTCATTCCCTTCTAGTCTCACAGTGATCACAGAGCCATTCCACTTGATCCATACTGATCTCTGGGGACCTAGTCCCGCAACCTCACGCCTCGGATTTAAATATTTTGCATTATTCATTGATCATGCAACTAGATACACGTGGGTCTACTTCCTCCGACTAAAATCCGACCTTTTAACTGTTGCTACCGACTTTCATGCCATGATTAAAACCCAGTTTGATCGAACAGTTCATGTAGTTCGGTCTGATCCAGGAGAATTCGGTTTTGGTCCCTTGTTAGGTTTGTATAAGTCTATGGGTATTTTGTCTCAAAAATCGTGTCCTGGGGTGTCTCAACAAAATGGTTTAGTTGAGAGGAAAAATCGTCATGTTTTGGAAGCCACTCGTGCTCTCTTACTCTCCTCGTGTATACCCTCCTCTTTCTGGCGTGAAACCATAGCTACTGCTGTCCGTCTCATCAACTATCAAGTCACACCTGTTCTCGACCAAACTAGTCCACATTTCCGTCTGTTTCACAAACCACCACCCTAATCTCGTCTTCGTGTTTTTGGGTGTGTCTGCTTTGTTCTTCTTGCCTGTTTAGAGCGCACCAAACTCACATCCAAAACTGCCCGTTGTTGCTTCCTTGGCTATAGTGACATCCATAAAGGTTACCTGTGTTTTGATCCTGCACTTCGTTGCATCCGGGTTGCATGCCATGTGGTTTTTGTTGAGAACTTAATGTATCACACTTCCCATTCTTCGACTGAACCGTCCCTTTTTGACCTGTCACTTCCGCCACCTATCTTTGCCGAGGATGATGAGGATGATGTTACTCTCGACCCTCAGGACCCGCCACTATCCCCCGGCTCGCCTCCCCCAGCCGATCCGCAGGTGTCTAGTTCCTCGGAAGATGACGACTCCCCACCACCTGCTGATCCTCCTCGTCGCTCTCTTCGCATAACTCGTGGCGTGCCACTAATTCGCTACCAGGACTATATGGCCTATAGTGTGGATCCTATTTCGATTCCCTCTAGGTTTTCTCAGGCTAAAGGTAATCCCCATTGGGATCGAGCTATGGATGTTGAGTTTGAGCCTTTGGAAGCAAATCATACGTGTGGTGGCTCAATGGTTTTGTCAGGAGTATGGTATCGATTTTGAAGAAACTTTTGCCCCTGTGGCAAAAATGGTGATTATACTATCTTTGCTAGCTGTGGCATCTATGCGGGGTTGGCCGCTCTTCCAGCTTGATGTCAAGAATGCTTTCTTTCACGGCGAGCTCAAGGAGACTGTTTACATGGAACGACCTCCTGGCTATACTCGTGGTACTCCTGATCAAGTCTACTTGCTCCGCCGATCTCTCTATGGTTTGAAACAAGCTCCGCGGGCCTGGTTCGACAAGTTTCACTCCACCATTTTGACTCTTGGTTTTCAGCAGAGCCTCAACGATCCCTCGTTGTTTACACGACATACTGGTGCTGGTCTAGTGGTGTTACTAATTTATGTTGATGATATGATCATTACTGGTGATGATTCTGCAGGAATTACAGCCCTTACTGATGGTCTCCACGCCTCCTTCAATCTTAAGGAACTCGGCTTTGTTGCTTACTTTCTGGGACTCGAGGTTAAGCGCTCTTCTGCTGGTATTCTTCTTTGTCAGGCCTGTTATGTTGATGATCTTCTTGAGACCGCCCGGTTTGCTGAGTGTACGCCTGTATCTACTCCCATGGAGATGAACCTCAAGCTTGGGCGGGAGTCTGGCGACCTCTTGTCCGACGGGGGTAAACACTACCGTAGTGTTGTTGGCAGTCTGATATACTTGACTTCTACTCGTCCCGATATTGCTTATGCAGTACAGATTGTCGGCCAGTTCATGTCTGCTCCTCGTACGATCATTTAGCTGTTGTTCATCGGATTTTGAGGTACCTGCAGGGTACCAGGGAGGTCGGATTATTCCTTCCCTTCTCAGGTTCTCTTGTTCTACAAGCTTTCTCGGATTCCGACTATGCCGGGTGTGTGGACACGCGGGGATCTACCACCGGCTGGTGTGTGCGGTTAGGTGATTCTTTCATTTCTTAGCGGTGTAAGAAGCAGGATCG